TATCAAATAATATTATTTTCTGCATACTTCGATGAAACAATTTTCTGTTATGTAAAAAGTATATTTTTATTTACTTATATTAGCGGTGTTCTGCCTACTTACAGGGAAAATATGAGAAAATAGGGTAAAGAAAAGCAATACAATTTTTTATTCAGTTTTATTGCATAATTGTTGGGTTACAATTTTTTTCGAAGTATACGCCGCTGTTATACCTTCGTTTGTAATTCTTGTTACAGTTTTCTCTGACACACCTGCAATTAAATTATGAACAATTAAAAACAATAATAACTTTAATTTTATAATGCTTATGTAATATGTAATATATGTTTTAATTTCAGTTACCTAGTTTCATCACGTTATCTATTTCTTCAATTTTGTCGCAAGAACGAATTTACATCATAAAAGTCCCATCAATACAGCAAAAAATTATTAAATGGCAACTCTAAAAAGTACCTGTTATGGCGGCAACTCTCTTCCGAGTTCCGAACATTGTTTAGTGGTATTAAAACACCTTGATTCTTATGCTCCGCTTCACAGAACTCTTTCACCTTTAATATCATTCCTCGAGCCGAACTTTTTACAACTTTTGGCATTGTAATCAATCTTTAAAATGCACTAAGCTAGTTAAAACTTCACAAAAATCAACCACAACAAACGAACTTGATAACATCGACGAATGACAACATTGCCGACCTGTCAAATTTAGTTCCAAAAATCACTTTCATGAAAAGCACTATAATTAAAAATTGTACTTTTGCCACACAAACTTTAATTGTTTAGATTTTAAAAATATAAATGTTAAAATAATAAATTAAAAGTAATAAAAAAAAATTAAAACCAATTTAAAAGGTATGTTCCCTGTGGCAGTGTACCTTTAATGCTGGCAGCATTTCCTTCCAACAAATGACCCACTATTTTATGTCACTATCTCCCGGCCTAAAACGAATAAGTATCACAATACAGCCTTGTGATTCTGTAACTCACTTTTCGAATTCTCACAGCGGCGGTCGCGCTCAAATCAGTCATTTTATGATTTGGCATTCTGATAAATAATAAACTACAAGCTCCCTCCTTATCAGAAAGGTGAGGTACAGAATCACAAGGCTGCAATGCTAGCATTAAAGGTAGACTGCCACAAGGACCAAATTTTAAAGGATATTGCAAATACTGTATGCATGTGTGTTGGAAAGAAATACTTCAACTATTGTTGCATATATTTTGAATAATAAACACGATTAAATTGAATAAGTTTGTATGTACTTCAATGGAGAAAGGAGGTCCGTTATTATAGTCATGGTAAGTCCTTGTAACGTCATAGGGGCCTATTTTAAATTCGTCTGATTTCTTTCTATTTAGTCTATTTCTATTTTCTACATATACACAAAGTCAAATCATTTATTTCAATTAGACCACCTTAAATGGCACTTTTGAACGTCAAACAAAATATAAAGATTCTAGTTGCCCCTTCCAAAAGGTAGTTTAGTGTGGAGAAGAATGGGCAAGAAACTCCACGCTTACTCTTTTAAAATAGGTTTACAATATTTTGTTTACATTAGTTAAATAATTATATGTGGAGACAATGTACTCTTAGAATAAAACTACTATACTAGCCAGTATATACTAAGTCTATGGTAAAAATAATAGAAAAAACACAATAAAACAGTGTGTGAGATAAAATAAAATAATTACATTTTGTAGTATAACAATTTAAAAAAAATAACAAAAACATGTTAAAGCAAAAAATCAGCAACCTATTTGATTTTGTCTAGGCTCTATGATTGTCCTATGGAGCAGGACCAGCATGTTTCCAAGCATTCTTATATTGAACACTGTCTCCTATATTACATTTTTCTATTTCTATCAAATATTTTCTTATTAGGTACTTGTGGGATTTTATTATATTCTCTATTGCGAATCCTTTATCAGCAATCCGCTTCTCTTCTCTTTCTATTTATTTTTACAATATTCCTAAATTATAATCTTATCGAAGAACAAGAACAAAAGCATAGAATCCGTGATAAAATAGATACTTTTATATGTCAACAGTGAACAGCGGAAAAATCTCAAACCATAGATTAAACAAGCCATATTCATTTATGACATCAATTAAATTGTATTATTGATATGTAAATTTCAAAGCACAATTTTCCTTATTCACGATTTTCTTATGTTTACTAATATCTTATAGATAGCTTTATTTTCTTATGTTTACTAATATCTTATAGCTGCCTTACATACGTCACGTGGCCGTGACTTCAAGATTGTATAATGAAAATTAGTTTGAAGAGTGTGTGGAACTCGTTTATTTATATTCTGTACGATTCTCTACGTTAACCGGGGGCAACTCGCTTGACAACTTACAACTGACAGCTATTTCCCCGTACTAGACTATCTAAAGTTAGTAATTCTTTTTTGGGAAAGGGATACTCTTCTTTAATAAATTTAAGAAATCTTTTAAAGAAAAGCTGTGTAAAAAGGCTTACTTATCTAGTTGATAAAAGTGCCTGGACTATTGCTAGACAGGCTACTTCTAATTAATTTGCGATATTGGCAACACAAACAACTAACGTTTTCAAACAATTTAACTAAAAACTAATTTGACTTTGATGACATAAAATAGAAATGACAATAGAAGCTTTTGCTCCAAAATTATAAATTACTTTTAATTGTAATGACTATAGGAATCAATATTACTATGGACTACTAAATAGTAGTTAATTTGTCGAAATATATTGGCAAATCGAATAAACAACAAGTTTTATCTGTTGTAAACTGATTAAGCTTTGACGTTGTTAAATTACGAGCTCTGTGACATTATAATGACAATGGCAACTGGCAGCTGATAGTTGATACCACTTCCAGCGGCCATCGCCATTGATCGATACATATTGCATAACTCTAACCTATTCCAAAAGCAAAAACCGAATCAAAGAATTGTTAATACGTTCTAAGTATTGTTTTTGTAAAAGTGATAAATGTTGTAATAATAGTTTTTAGTAGGAAATATTAAGGTTTTAGCTTTGGTCTCATTATAATATTGTTTTGTACAAAGGTTTGTGTTGGAAAGAAATTGTATTCATAGGTTAATAGTTTTTCAGTCCCTATATAATGAAGGGTTTTCAATGCCACATTATACTAACTGACATTTAAGAGTTTTTATCCTTATTAAAGCTTCAGAATAGCCTTGATACAAAGAGAACAATAAAACATTCCTAGATGTATTCAAAGGATTTTAAGACTAAACATACCCATAGTTTATATGCCCACAGTCCAAGTTCTCTATGCCATTTAAGCCATGCTTAGAGTTTCTGCTGTACATCTCATAAGCATTTGTGACTTTCTCTTCTGATCTCTCTTGATCAATTGAATCTTTAGAGGATTGTATTTGTCAAGTCTTTCCAAAATGGTAATTAAAGGCAACTGTGGTTTCAGGCTAATTTTTGAAACCTCGAGAGTCCAATTTCGGCTAGGGTAATTATTCTGTGATTGAGTTTGTATGATGCAAGTTTGTATCTGAATATTTTGACTATCTCAATATACATAAATTGGGAAATTTTGTAATAAGTGAAAGGGCCCTATGCAAAGAAGCGTTGGCCATGTTGGCTTCGTTTTGGCGTCGGGAATACAAAATGTCTGTTCTTAGATGTCCCCTCATCTGTTAGTCCATGGAGTTTGTGATATCTTAAACAGATCGCTTAGATGTATAGCTTTCTTATTGAATAGGTTTTTGTTTGTAGGTGTTTGTTTCAGATAGATACAGAAGCCTGACAGACTAAATCTAAGTTCTAAATCCATCCTTTAAAGAAATCAAATACAAAAATAATTTTTTGTATCTTTTTAGGGTTCATAATTAATAATCCGATTAAGAAATGTTTCAGCTACTTTTTTATAATAAATTTCACATTTCTCTGGTAAACTAATAATAATAGTGACAAACTTAATTCATGACAAATAGGTTGTGACAAAATTCATCAATCATTAGTCTTACGCTTGAGAGTCCCCGACTGTGAAACTAGATAACTATTTTTCCGTGGTACATGTTGAAAACAGTTTTTTGAGAAAAAGTAGTTTTCCTGTTACTAATCATACACAAGTATCCTAAGGGCCTAACGTCACCATAAGCAATTTTTGGGAAAACAGCAGAAACTTGTAACTTTAGCTGTATTTATTTTTTCCTCATTAAAATAGCTCAGCCCTAAGAATATAGTACAACTAATATTTAACAGTATTCTCAATAATAAGGTATTTTTTTTAAATTAAATATAATTTTTTAAAAATCTGAAATAGTCCCCGTTGTTCAGGCACTAAATAAATAGACTCTTGGTCAGACAGTTTTGAAAATAATCCCTTTTGATTTGGCTAAAGGAAAAATGGCTCTATTGGTAAATAATAAAAATAAATGTTTTAAGAAAGATTAAACTCTTAGTTCGCCTCAATCAGGCTTCAGGCATTCACAGTTTTCTTTCGTTTGGTACCTCTGCTTTCATGTGGGCATAGAATGCATTGGCTCTGAGTTTGTGCACTCATTTTTCAGTAATAAATGTTTGTTTTGATTTATTATCTTTTTCAGATTTTATTTTATGATCCTACAAACATTGCAAGCATCAGATGCAGGTTGTTTGGAGCCTATATTAAATTCCTTTGTGAAAATTTCATGGAACATTGTGCGTGACACTCTCAATTCCCGAGGAGATTAAATGTTATAAAAACTTCTCAGTTTCTTGCAATTAAGCTCTGAACTCAAATAAATCCTCTTTGACTTATTTCTTGAGTAGTGACATCAGATGCTGGAAATCCTTTTAGGAACTTTCTCAGATTATTCATTTTCTTTTGAGTTTTCAAAGAGTCTGTCCCCACCTCTTTTTTCTTTTAGTATTTCTCCTGCTGCTATTGTTTTATTTAAGTTCTTAATTCTCTTTTGCCCTATGGAGAAGGCACTAAGAAAGAATCTCATGCATACTTGCACCATCTTCTTTCCCCACTTAAGGAAATATTTGCAGCTAATTTGAAGATTTCTTCTCGTTTATTATTTTTAAAGGCTTATGAGGGCTTGTACATCTCATTAGAAATCTGTCCTGGTCAACTTTTTCATTGAATTTGTAAAGTTGTTTTCTGTTCTCAATTACATTGGCTATATTGATAGATTGGCACTTAAATTTGCTCTTCTCCTGGTGAGAACAGGGCTTTCTAAAGTTGCAGCAGAGTGGATCTATATCCTTGTAGGTCCTGGAACCAAAAAAAAAAAAACGTTTCAAGTAAAAATTGTTATGAATTTGTTAACAATTTTTACAAAATACAAAATCTAAGATCTTTTAGGACTTACTTTTTACGGTATACTGATCTGTTTTTCCTCCTTTTTTCTTGACACCTGAGTTTCTCACCTGAGGCTTCAACATCCATCTTTTCTAGGAAATTTGTATTTTTGTAATCTTCAAGAAAATTAGTGCACCAAATGGACGTTAGATTCTGATTCTGATGGACACAGACACAGACACACAACATTAGATTCTAAAAACATTAAGACGTATGCGTGAATGTGTGAGTGTCTGAATGTGTGGGTATGCGCATGTATTTGATGTGTAGAGCTGAGAGTTGGTATAAGCGTGTGCTGTGTCTGTGCTAATTTCTAATGCCTCAGAGTCCCAATTTCGGCTAGGGTAATTATTATGTCATATGCGAGTTTTTATCTGGATATTTGACTATCTCAGAATCCATAGATTGGGAAATTTTATAATAAAGGAAAGGGCCCTAAGCGTTGGCCACGTTGGCTTCGTTTTGGCATCGGGAATACAAAATGTCTGTTCTTAGATGTGTCCGCATCTTTGAGTCCATGGAGTTTGTGATACAGGGTGGGCCAGAAAGATATGCGAATTTGAAAAAATATAATAAAAAAACTAAATACAATACACATACAATTTTTTATTTCAATTAAAATAGACATCTGGGAAATTTATTTCTTAAAAATAACATCATCCATGTGCACCATTGCGCTGCAAACATTCCTCGAATCTGAACCTCAAATTGGTAAAAACTTGCTGGCACATTGCGCGGGGAATAGCTGCCATTTCTTCGCAGATATTGGTCTTAAATCGTGGCTGGATTATTGGAATAGACTTTACTTTTAAGGTATCCCCATATGAGAAAGTCTGGTGGCGTTAGATCCGGACTTCTAGGTGGCCATGCAATGTCACCTCGGCGCGATATCAGTTTTCCAGCAAACGTCTCGTTTACGGCCGCCAAAGAGGCATTAGATGTATGGCACGTCGCGCCATCTTGTTGAAACCATGTCGCACGATTATAGGCTTCAAATTGTTGCAGTTGTGGATAGAAAAAATCTTTTAACATGGCTATGTATCGGACTGGATTTACAGTGACAGATTGCCCTTGTTGATTTTCAAAGAAATAGGGTCCGATAATTCCGTGTGCTGATATGGCCGCCCAAAAGTCCATTAGGTCTACTCCTTTCATATGCGCATTATATTCCTTCACTAATCTATATTATTATGTTAATCATTCTTTATAATCAGACTATTCAGTATTAGGCTATGTTCACATGTAACGCGAGTTACATATCAATTTTCTCTTACCTTTACCAGTATCGGTTTGTTTTAGAGGCAGTCCGAGAGAGTTTACCCGCCTTCCGCTAAAATGCTCATCAATATTTATATACTTACAAATCACAATTTTTTATAAATTGTATCTTAAGCAACATTATTAAGCTATATTTTCTTCTAAGAAAGTTTAATGCATCATTATTAGTTTACGAGTAATTTACAATTTTTACCAAAGTGACATTCGGCTAATATCTCCCGCCTGGGTGGGAGATTTGATCCCCAAGTAGGGAGCATTTACCCGGGTTTAGAAATAAGCAAAATAAGCACTACAAATTGAGTCTATTATTCTCAAAACTCACTATTGTTTTCAAAAACCACAATGTGCATTTTGACTACTTTCAAGATATCCTTAATTATCTTATTGTGCGTAATACACGCCCATTATATTTAAATTCATTTAGATTTGTGTAGGTGAACTAAATGTATAGTTAATATAGATATATTCGAACAAAAAAGATAGTAAAAGCAAATAAATATAATGGACATTGCTGGCTTCAAAACACTCTGATGGACTTTGCGATTTTTTGCGAATGGCACATGCCATTTTGTAGTTAGCAAAAACCCATCTTTTGTGGCCGTTTTCCAGTCCCTTACTTGTACTGTTGAGGCACCATTTATGGCAGTACAATTTGCTTCTACAACATTCAGGTATTCTATCGGCTTAACTATATTTTCGACTTTCTGTAGCTCTTTTTCGATACAAGCAAACACTATCTGGTGGAAGAAAAGAGTAATCCACTACTGGAAAGGTCACTTCAACCAAACGTATGTGAGCTAGTGCATCTTTTGTGAGCCATTTCGAAAGCATTGCCATCATCATAGAGTTTTTGTTCTGACCGGAACAACCGTCAGCCATGAGTCGAACTTGATTACTTTCCGTTGGGAAATCCGTGTTGCAAAGCCCATGGTAAACTGCTGATACTATGAGATTAGAATCTTTTGCATATTCTTCTTCTGTCCAACAATAACTGCACACATTTTTTTCAGTAAATGAGGATTTAGAACTACCCTCGACCACAGTAAAGTTGTAAAAGTAGAGTTGACGGGAGTAGTAGGTAATCTGATCTGGGATTTTCGGTAACGGCTTATTTTTCTGGCAGTCGAAACTTAAGATCTTTATTTTAGGGTTGTCTTCTACAACATGTTAAAAATTCTTTTGCTCGACGTTTGTGTACCGTTTTCTCAGCCATTAGGGTACTTGTTTCACTGTCAGTGATTGTAGTCTTTAATTTTTCACTAAACTGAAGACATGTCGAGCACACATCAACTATTGGACTGTCAAAAGCCAAATTAAAGCATTTATTGAAAACGCTTCGACAATACAACGGTTTTACCTGCAGATTCTCTGTTGCTTGTTTATTGTTTATCTTAGCCATTTTATTAATACTTAGCTCTGAAGGTAAGTACAGGCGTTTCAGAGCACTTAAACGTTTTTGGCTGAGTATTTATGGGATTTGTGATCACCTCCGCGATTTTCTGCTGGGAATTTTCCATGTAGATGATAATTCTTTACTGCGCTTTCCACTTGGTATCAAAAGATACCGAGTGGAAAGCTCTTCAGCTGTGCTCTGCAATAAATCTTGTATTTCAGTTGCAAGTCTCTGGGTTTGACGATGTGTTTTCGTACCTTTTACATGTTTCAGGATAAATGTGTCTGGCCTCGATTTATCTGTTAGGAGATAAAAAGACTCATGAAATTTCCGTACATCCTGCATTGTAATTATTGTAGAACATTTAAGTTTTTCGCCCTTCTGTTTACATGTCGGCTTGCAAGGCAAATGTTTAGCCGCATACCTGAAAGTAAATTAAAACACTTTAAACACAATACTTTATTAATTATTAAAATGAATACTATTGTTACGAGCTAGGGGATTGGATAGAAACGCCGTAGATTTCTTCAAGGGTTTATTTTCTATTAATTCTACGAGGAATTTTTTAACACTAAAAACTGGAAATTACGCACAAAACTCACTAAATACACACACAGAATACTGTCACTAATTACTTTAATTACACGCATTTCACACAGTACTTTTTCACATGTCTTCAATATATTCGCACTTTGTCACTTCGGTGTTAGTCTCTCGATATCGCATTCAAAACTGAACTAACTGGTCACATGTCGGCTCGCTTGTATATCCCTGGGAATAGTCTTGAACGATGTTCGACAACTCTAGGCGGGAGCGCTACTGAGTAGCGATCGCACAATTCTAGAACGTGCGTACTCGCTATCTCTCTCGCACATTGCTCCGTCCTTGTCGTACGGTGTTCTAGAGTGCCCGATCTTCCGTCTCTCTCTCGTATCATACTGTCCTTGTCCCACACCTAAAAATTTCGTTCTAGACTAATCCTTCATCAAAGGGGGTATAACCAGGCCTGAAAACGGGTTTCCTGAAAAGTGTACCACTCGACTACACTTGTTCTGACTCACTTCACATGAAAAAATGTTTCAGCCTCCTGAAAACTAGGGTAACATTATGTAAATTACGATTTTCTAATATGTGATTGACCCTCTCCTGAAACGGTCAGAAATCACATTTCAGCCTGCTGAAAAGTTCTCTAAGTAGTGGAAAAATCAAGAAACATTGCAGTCGACCCGTCTTCGTAACACTATTGTAAAAAAAACAGAGAAAAATTGTTTTAACTGACGAGTGATGAGAGACAAACTCTTGGTTGTCATCCATCCACTCGGATAGGAGTCACCTTGCGAGACTGGTGGTCCACTAGCTACATAGGATTCGTTGTATTTAACCCTAGGGAATATGAAAAATGATGGAATAGCATTTCCCAGAGCGTTCACAGCGAAACAAACTGTCACAAGACTGCCACGTTCAGCCGAAGTTACCTGTCCAACTTGACTCACATGCTTGCTCGCTATTACTTTAGGACACTCTTGTACAGTCGTACACCGCGTTTCATCACAGTTATAAATGTTAGCTGCAAATTGGAATCTTTCTCTAAATTCTTTTCTATTGAAGCTAGTTGATCTGGATAAACTGGTAGCTTTTGGGGTCCTCAAACTTAGTTCAGGGTTACTTGTCATGAATCCTCTGAACCAATCTTTTCCTGCGCAGTTATTGGAAGTCCAAGTATCTGGAACTTTTTAGAATTAATTGTTTCATATTCATATGCCCTCTTCATAGCCACCTGTCTGGTTAAGCCATAATTCATTTTGCTGCAAGTTAAAACGTAGTCAACAACTGCTTTCTCTTCCTCGATCGTAACTATCAAAGATGTTTTAGGGCTTATACGCACTAGCGATTGACCGCCTAGGCGGTTCGTTTGAGCGGTCCAACCGCTTAACGCGGTTTCATCGCGGCTGACCGCTATGGCGGCCAATCGCGAAAAAAACGCGATGATAACGCGTTAAGCGGTTGGACCAGAGCAGCCCGCGTACCTCATAAACAAAATGGACGCCGTCGAGATAGCTTGTGTTATTTATTATTACTCCCGAAAACAACGAAAGAAAAATAAAAAAAGATACTGGATTCATCCTTTACTAGAAACACGTAATGAATTTGGCCAGTTTGCAAGTTGTTTTCAAGAACTGAAGAAGCACCAAGATAAATTCTTTGGCTATGTTAGAATGAGTGTTTCGTCATTTGAAGAATTACTAACAGTTTTATATGTCACCATCAAAGGACAAGATACTAAATTTCGTGACTGTATCCAACCCGAAGAGAAATTAGTTATAACGTTAAGGTATGTATTTTAAATAAAAAATGTTTTTGCTAGCTATTATGTTTTAATTTGAATCGCAATGTGTATTCATAACCACAAAGAACAATAAAAGTAGGAAACTATAACTATTACTGAGAATTATTATCATTAAAAAGATCTAAATAATCAGATTCTTGAGACATATGTGTATTCTGTGAATATGTTGATTCAGGAGAAGTTACAGATTCTCCTTCATTCCATGTTCCACGATGTGTAGGTGGAACTGAGGGCGGTGGTGGTGGTGGTGGGTTATTATTTCTAGCAAATGATGGTGTCTGATATCCTTGATGTGGCCCTTGGTTGTAGTTAAATGGTCGCACGTAATCCCAAGTAGAGTTACAGTAGTTGTATCCAGACGTTTGGGCTTCAGTAATGACTTGCATTATTTTATTTCACTAACCAACGACAAAAAGAACAGTCTATCTTCATCTTCTTCGGCCTTTCTGAACTCGACATTCTTATTTAAGACGTTAATCAATTCAACTCCTATATCATCTTCTTTTTTTTTCTTTTTATTTCGTTTTGGCGGTGGTGGTATGACTGGGTCAGTGACATTTTCTGTTTCATTTCCATCATTTTCTTGCCTTGGCATATTTGAATAGCCGCGTACTGACTGAGCGAGCAGCCTCGCGAAGCAGCCTCGGACGTTTGCTTCGCAACGTTTGCCGCGCGAGGCAGCCTCGGTCTGTAAGTTTTCTAATCCGAGGCTGCCTCGCGCGGCAAGTCCGAGCCATCGTGAGCATCGACGCTCAGTTTAACTTGAAGTCGAATAGAGACCGCGCGTGCCCGTATAGTTTGCCCGAGACCACCATGAGGCCGCACATTCGGAAAGCTGTCGCTACCACTGCCTTTTTAATAATTCTAAGGCTTGCAAAAAAAAGAAAACAGAAAACTAAACGTTTTTGGATTAAACTCTTATACAAAAATAGATTACAGGCTGGGAACAGATTATTTGAAGAGTTGTGCTTCGATGACGAAGAAAAAAATTTCACTCGAATGAGTAAAATCGAATTTGACAATGTGTATTCTCTCATAAACGCCAAAATAAGCAAGAAGGACACAAATTTTCGAGAAGCAATATCCGCTAGGGAAAGATTATTAGTGACGTTGAGATTTTTGGCCACAGGAGATACTTATACCAGTCTACAGTATCTATTTCGTATATCAAAACAAAGGATATCGGTTATAGTTCCTGAAGTCTGTGATGCTATAATTGAGGTGTTAAAGGATTATGTTAAGGTAAAATAAAATTACATATTTTTATTATTTTTTTATTAATCTGATTAGAAAATTGGACAAATAATATAAGAAAATTAAACAAACAAATATTTAATGATGAGGAGCTGGAGAAGGAGGAGGGGGAGGCATCGAAATTGGTGAGATAGGAGGCATTGGTGAGGCAGCAGGCATCGGTGAAGTAGAAGGCATCGATGAGGCAGGAGGCATCGGTGAAGTAGGAGGCATCGGTGAAGTAGGAGGCATCGGTGAGGTAGAAGGCATTGGTGAGGCAGCAGGCATCGAATATGTAGATGGCGTCGATGAGGAAGAGGGATGAGACATATATCTTAAATTATCGTGTTCACCATATGATTGAGTATAATAACTATAACCACTGTATGCTCCCATGTCTGCATCAAAGATAATTTTATTTATTGCATTTTTTACGTATGCTAATGTAATTTTATCATACTTTCTCAACTCATTTCCTATATATTGGCCATACACATTATAGGGATCATTTTTTTTCTGATATATTATCGCTTGCACACTGTTGTAAGAGTGTTAATGCTTCAGATATGGCGTTATCAGTAAGATCATCACTTTCGTTCATTTTGGATCTCTTTTTAGGTCTAGTTGACTTTTGTTTAGGTCCTTCCGTTGTCGTCGAGTTTGAAGTTTCATTTTTTTCTTCGTTATAACCGTCATCATTTCGAGTATTATCCAGACTTGCATTCTGTAAAGATAGAAATTATTACTTAATTTTATTTACAGATACCATCATCCGAAGAAGAGTGGCTTACCATAGCGAAAGAGTTTGAGAGCAAATGGAATTTCCCACATGTCATAGGAGCAATGGATGGGAAGCATGTTATATTACAGTCGCCGATAAATAGTGGCAATGATTATGACTGTTACAAAATGTTTCCAAGTATAGTGCTGTTTGCTTTAGTTGACGCTAACTATAAATTTCTGTACGTAGACGTTGGCAGCAAAGGACGTATATCAGATGGCGGTGTGTTTAAAAATACCAATTTATATAAAAAAGGTCGAAAAGAAGGAATTGAACATTCCTTCACCAGAAATATTACAAATACCGTATAAAATTGCAGTGCCCTATTTTATTCTAGGCGATAAAGCTTTTGCTCTCAATGATTACACATTGAAACCTTATGAAGGTACTCCAGAAAGAGGTTCAATGGAAAGGATTTTCAATTACAGGCTGTCCAGAGCAAGAAGAGTTGTGGAGAATGCCTTTGGCATTTTAAGCTCCGTTTTTAGAGTACTGAGGAAGCCGCTACTATTAGAACCAGAAAAAGCTACGAAAGTCGTATTGACTACCATATGCTTATATAACTACTTGCGTAGAGATTTAGCTTCCTCACAAAGGTTCACTCCCCAGGATCATTCGATGCCGAAGTTGAAGGGACAGTAATACCCGGCCGATGGCGACAGGATACAGAAATGTCATCAATGCTATCTATTCAAGCCATACCACGGCGAGGATCAACAAATATAAAAGAAATACGTTCACATTTAGGGAGACATTTCATAACAAACGGAGCAATTTCTTGGCAGAATAATTATCAGTAAATAATAGGTACTCACTTCTTCACCTAAAGTATCTTGTGTATTTCCTGGGTGATTTCTATCTCCTAGAAAACTGAAGGCTTCATAGGCATACCAATTCGAAACATATATTTCACCACGACCTGCAGTATAAAATAAAAAAAAATAATATTAGAAATAATATTAGAAATAATATAAAAACCGATGTAACTTTGAATATAATAAAATGAATGTTGTTAACCCTAATCATAAACATTAAATAATAAATACCTGATCCTGTGATTCGGCTTTTTTTTTCTCTCGACTTTTCCCTCCTGTAAGACCCTAGTAAAGAGTCCATTTTTTTCTTTAATTCAGCTATTGGAAGGTTCATTTCCTGGCTTATTTTTCTCCATGCATCTTCCCTTAGTCCTCTATTTGTGTAATCAGGACATTGCGCATCCCAAAGTCGTCTATATTCACCATATAGTCGTATTAATTTAAGACACTGTTCTTTATCCATGACGCACAACTAACACGCAACGAATAAGCGAGGCAAAACACTACCGTCTTGAGTGAGCGCGGCAAACGTACTGAGGCGCCTTTGAACATCGACAAAAACCGACAACGTTCGGCTCGGGCCGCGGCACGCTCGGGCGAGGCAGCGCGTGCGTTTGCCTCGGGCGAGGCACGTCTTGACCGACCGAGGATTTGCCTCGCGAGGCAGCCTCGCGAGGCTGCTCGCTCAGTCAGTACGCGGCTAATCAGTTACATTGATGGATACTGTGTCTTTCAAAAACATTAAATTATTGTAAAATATGTATTGAGTCTTTTTCTTAGCTGCTGCTAACATTGTCCTTTAGAGCTTTCACAAAATTATCCCTGATGTTTTTCCATTTTTTTTTGTAATTCTATTCCTAGAACAATACAACAAACAAGTTAATGATATAGTCATAAAGTAATAGAAGTATAATATAGGTACATATCTAAATTGAATTAAATAATGCATGTAGTAATTATAAAATTTTTGTCTTAGATATTTTGCAACAGGTTGTACATTTGCGGAACTACATTATACATTCAAAATTGGAGTAAGCACTGTAGCAGAAATAGTACGAGAAGTTTGTTTTGCAATTTGGTTTTGTCTGAAAGATATTTGTTTGCCTCAACCAAAAAAAGACGCTTGGAAATAAATTGCGAATGATTTTTTTCAAAGAGCTAATTTTCCTAACTGCTTAGGTGCTGTCGATGGCAAGCACATACGATGTATAGCACCTAATAACAGTGGCTCAATGTGCTTTAATTATAAAAGTTTTTTCTCTTTGGTTTTATTAGCAGTATGCGACAGTAATTTCAAATTTGTTATGGTTGATATTGGAGCTTTTGGTAAATTCAGTGACTCGTCAATATTTCAAAATTCTGTTTTCTACGAAAGAATGCAAAAAAACCAATTGGATATTCCAGAGCCTATTTCACAAAACAGCGAGACATGTATGCCATACGTTTTTGTAGGCGACGAGGCATTTGCATTATCTACGAATATGATGCGCCCATACGCAAAAAAAGATTTGGATGAAACTAAAAGAACGTTCAATTACAGGCTTTCTAGAGCAAGAAGATATGTGGAATGCAGTTTTGGAATTTATGCAAACAAGTGGCGTATATTTCATAGACCTCTAAATGTTCACTCTGATCTAGCAAAAGATATTATAAACGCTACTTGTGTACTACATAATTTTGTAAGAGACCGAGATGGTTATTGTTACGACGACTCACTCAGTTGCCCTTTGACAGAAAACTTAACACAGGAAGGGTTAAGAAGGAACCCTAAAACTGCGTTGAGATACAGAGAATTGTTTGCCCAATATTTTATGACTGATGGGAAATTAGAATGGCAAAGAAATATGATTTAATTGAAAATAGACGTATTTATTATGTTTCAAGATGTTGAATGTATGTGTAGTTTTGTTTATATAAATATAATAATAATAATTATAATAAATACTTACCAAGACTTCTTTTTTCCTCTGTTGTCATCTCATCTTTTCCAAAAATGTCTACTAATTCTTCCCATTGTTTCCGTTTTAAATCTCTATTCCTATATATTGCTCCTTGACAATTCCAAATTGATTCTCGTTGTTGAATTTCAACAATGAATTTCTCTGTGTCGAAGTTCATGACTGCGACTCACGTACTAACTCATCGGCGGCTCGCCGCACACTGAAATCGCAAGTGCGTACAAGCAAGATGGCGGCCAGCCGCGGAGCGGGCCGCAGCTCTCCATTCAACTGCCGCGGTTGAAACTTTGCGGCGGTCAAGTGCGTACAATCACAGGCGGTTGCATATTAAACTGGGAAAGCGGCAGACCGCGCGGTTAGCCGCCCCCGCGGTTGACCGCTAGTGCGCAAGGGGCCTTAAACTGACTTCCTTGTTCAGTTATTTTAGTCAATTTGGACCTGTCTCGCGGTATTGTGTATGTTTCGCGGTATTCTTGTTCAATTAAGTTTTTTTCGGGCGTGTCCGTTAGTATTGCAGTCTTACGTTTTTTACGACCTCTATTTGTTTCAGGCCTTGGACCCGCTTGTGGTAGAGGTCTAAGATCGTTAGGTGTGAAAAAATTAAACGGCTGAGTAGAATTTGCTCGTTGAAATAACCTTGCGTCGACACTTGCATATTTGGTTGATAATCATATTCCCCAGAATCGGCTTTCATTATGACATCAAATATTGCCTGTTGAACCATATTTTTTGTTGAACGTGAAAAAGATTTTTCATTTTATTGGAGCCAAAATGAATGTAATTCTTGTGAAAACTTGGAATTTTCGCAAATTTTTTTTGTAGCATTATTTAAAATTTGTAGGGCTTCAGTTACGATTTTATCATCCGTCGATTGTTTCTTTTTGAACGGCGGAGGTTCAATAAAAGACAGGTCGCTTTCAGTGTCAGTGTTTATTACATATATCACTTTTCGCTCATCCATTTTATCTTGTTCTATATCTGCTTGTTTCTGTAATAATATTGTTACGAGCTAGGGGATTGGATAGAAACGCCGTAGACTTCTTCAAGGGTTTATTTTCAATTAAATCTACGAGGAATTTGTCAACACTAAAAACTGGAAATTACGCACAAAATTAACTAAATATACACACAAAATACTGTCACTAATTACTTTAATTACACGCACTTCACACAGTAATTTATCACTTGTCTTCACTATATTCGCACTTTGTCACTTCGGTGTTTATCTCTTGATATCGCATTCAAGACTGAACTAATCGGTCCGTCGTGGATTTTGCTACACACTCCCTCGAGAGGGGTGTGTTTAGGCCCGTTCGGGGCTATGCCCCCTTCGGGTGGTGTGGTAGTTCGCGCCCTGCTGATACAGGGCGGTACGTGGTCGGACATCTAATCCTTGGTGGGGGCTGCAGCGCGCGAGGAGACGTTGGCCTCAACTTGCTGCGCGCAGCCGATGGGGTCTTGTCCGGGGTGTCAAATCCGGTAGTTTGGGGCCAAGCAGTAATCTCGACTCGGCCGGTGACATTGAGCGGGTCCCCTTTTGCCCCACCAGGACTCGATAGTGACCCCCGGTATACACAGAAGCTCCTTAACATTATATAGCGGGGGTGAGGTCGGGGGTGCGACGCAGAATTACCAGGAAAATGCACCCCGGTCTCCCCTTCCGGGCGCGTATGGGCTGAGCGTGTTCCGGCTCGAACTCGAGGTCGCGCAGCTCTGCCATGATGGCCTCGGGCTCCGTGTCCGCCGGAATGCCCCGCACTGCCACCTTAAGCTGCCTCTGCTGGTAGGGAGTAGGAAAAATAGACGACGTTGACGCCGCTACTTTCCTACTCCCCGAGGTACCGCTGCACCACACGGTACTCTTCTTCGTCGTCAGGTAGGCGTGGGGGCGCCGTGGTAGGCGTCATGCCCATGAATGCATCCGCCAGGCGACGACGACGCGGGTCTCTTTGTGAGAGCGGCATCGTATGTTGTGTATTTATATTAATATTATGTTGTGTATTTATATTAATGTTGGGTGGCGTCGTTTGCGCACAGACACGCTTGGGTGCCGTCCCGGCGGCGTCCTCATCAGAGTCCGGCGGCGGCGGGCGGCGTAGCGAATAATTATGCGCTCGTCTCGCTTCGGCGAGCGCATTGTGTTCGTCACTTGATAGGGGTGACGTGAAAAGGCTCTAAAAGGCGCCTGCGGGTCTGCGCGAGGTATTCGCACATTACTCGTGCGAGCCCGTCCTTAGCGTACCGGCCTATGAGAGTTTGCTCAACAAAAAGCGCATCCATCTCATAGCCGGCTCGCATTGATACGGGCCGCGATGGCCGCAGGTCGCCTTCCAGGTACGCGAGCAACTCTTCCGGGTCGCACCCATGAGCAGGGTTATCACGTTGATATGTATAGGTCTACCAGGATCTGTTGGCAAAAAGGGAAAAAAGAAATTGACGCTAGCAATACTAGGGAAATTGGAGTAAAACGTTTTGATACTTTTTTTTCCTTATAGCGGCTGATTCTGTGTGTGATACATGCAAATATAAAAATTTATCCAATGATCAAGGATAATTTTTGAAAATGTGTCAAGGGCTCGCTCAAAGATCCTCCAATCGATGCACCTAAGGCGAAGCGGCGTCAGAGGTGCTAGACTTGGATCGGTGTCCAACAGGGTGACAACCACGGGGAGGTGATCGGACAGTAGCTCGTCGACGATCACTTCCTGGGTCATCTGGCATGTCAACCCCTGGTGGACAACGATGTCTAAGGTGTCGGCTCGATGGTTGGCTTGATCGGGATAGCGAGTCGGCACGTCCGGGCCGGACACTGAAAAATCCAGCTTCTCGGCGTCGTGCAGCAGGCGTCTGCCCTGCGGGTTCGCTATCCGCGAATTCCACGCCGGGTGCTTCGCATTCCAGTCGCCGGCGATGACGCACGGATGGGCGGCGGCGAGGAGAGCGCGGACATCGGCGGTAGCGTAACGGTCGTTTGGTGGAGCGTAGACCGCGAAGAAGCCTGTGGGGCGACCTGCGAGCTGCAGCTCCACACCTAGGGCCGAGCACTCGGTGACAGCCACGTCGGGCAGCAACCGGTGTGGTATGCGGCGCCTAACCATGACTGCTAGGCCACGGTAGGCGCGACCGATGGCGTCGACGTGGTGTTAGCGATAGGTTTCGTACCCCGGGATGCGCAGCCTGGCTGTTTCGGTGAGGTGCGTCTCGCTAATCAGGGCGACGTCAATATCCTGTGAATTGAGTAGGTGCTTAAAGTAGGTGGCCTTGTTGGCGAGGACGCGCGCGTTCCAGTGTAGGAGCCGAAGGCCCCCCATTATCTGCGACTGCGACCTCGGGTAGGGCCCTTGAGGGCCGATGCCGCTCTCCTGAAGAGCGGGGCTGGATTGTCCCCGGCCTGCACAGCCTGGAGGATATTAGCTATTGCCGCCAACGCCTCTTTAATTTGAGGTCGGCGCGCGCGGGACCTGGTGCGCGAGCGCGGAGGCGGTGCCGTTCTTAGAATTGGTGCAGGTGCTGGTGCTTTGGTTGCGGCGGCGGCGCGGTTGGCTACGTCCGCAGAAACCGCATGGAGTGCGGCAGCGCGGCTCGCCTCCTGCGCGGCAAGCGAGGGTGCGGCGGGACCACGCTTGCGGCCGCCGCGTCTCGTGCGGTGACGTACAGTGATGAAGCCCTCTTCGTCGACCGTAGGAGCGGCGCCGGACGTCATAGGGGCGACCGTAGGCGGCGCGCCCATGGGCGGATGTTGAGTGTGGCTTTGCTCGTTGCGGCGTTGGCGCAAGGGGCGAGACGGCGCCGTTCGGGCAAACGTGCCCGCGCGCCGGTTCTGCTCCTCCTCCTTGCGCACCGGGCAAGTCGAGTGGCATGCGGGGTGAGGCCCCCCGCAGTTGGCGCAGGTCGCCGGCACTTCCCTCGGCCTGGTGCAGTCAGCCGCGCGATGCTCCCCCGCGCAGCGAACGCACGCCCTTCGCCTATGGCAATTCACCGAGGAGTGTCTGAAGGACTGACAGCGTGGCATTGCGCGGGACCCTGTTTCCCGCGCAAAGCTTCAATGGTGACCCCCGTCATATACAACAGCTCAGTAATGCTGTAAATGGCAGGGGTGATGTCCGGGGTGCGCCGCATGACGGCTAGAAAAATACAGCCGGGTCGGCCCTTCCTGGCCCGAAGTGGGCGGATATACTCGGGCTCGTACCCGCGGTCTCGAAGCGCCTGAGCCAGCTCCTCGAGGTCGGTGGTGACTGGTATACCCCGAATCGCCACCTTGAGGTCCTGCTCCGCAGGCAGGGAGTATGAGCACCAGGAGACCCGGCGGTCCTCCTTCTCCAGGTCCGAGAGGTACCGCTGGACCACCCCCGGCGGTCCAGCGGAAGGGGCGGCGGGCGGTGGAACGGCGCCAGGCGGCTGTACCGATGGCCCTCCCATGTCGAGGCGGCGACCTGGCGCCAGCCGAGGGTCGCCAGGGAAGCCTGACGCACTTTGAATATTAGAAGATGCGCATGGGCGCTTTGCCGCGGACTCACCATCCGAGCCGGGGTCCACGGCTGAAAAAGGGCGGCGCACGGGGGTAACCGGGGTGCGCGCTGTCAGACGACACTCATCGCGTACCAGCGCCAACTCCCGCTGTTCGGCGTCTGTCAGTGGTGACTCCAAAGCGCCGCTGTTGCGCAGCGCCTCTTCACGCGATTTGGCGTACCGAGCCATAGCGCGCAACATCTCACGCGACGCGAACGAACATGCGAACGACTGAGCCAAAAAGATCAAATCGGACTCGAATGCCGTCCGCGGCGAGGACGCGGCACCAGGACCCGGGTCCCGATCTAGCATGTTCAGCAACTCGTCAACACTATTGCACTCGCGGTTATAAGGCGTCGGGCCTGTGTAAACGGCTCTCACATTTTCATTAACATTACGACACCTCCTACGTATAATATCGTAACTGTATTTGATCAACTTTTTTTTTTAGATTTTCTTAAAAATCACATACGATATATTCTATCTAACGTTAGGTTTTATGAATTGAACAATTTTTTGTATATAACAGCACACAAACAAGATATTGACTTTACATATACATATATATATGAATACATATATGAATACATCTACATTAGGTAGTAATGCATTTAATTTGGTGCACCTGCGTGTGTTCAGTAGTAATGTCTGTATTGTTTAATAAGTTGTTACATATGCTTATTTATCTATGTAGACTGCATTATGTTAAGGAAGATATTTGGTGCCTTATTTTAATAAAAAATAACCATAACTGAAACATTTTTATTTTTCAATTCTCACTTTCTAAAAGTATATTATAAATATATTATCTAAAAGTATATTATAAACAATCAACTTTTATGACTCTTACTTAAACTGAAATTGTTTGTTGGACATAAACAGAGATAATTCCAACTAGTAGCAAATCACTAATAAAATCTACACTTATACAGGGTGGGCCATAAGGGTGTTGGCGGTTTCAATATTCAATTAAAAAAGAACTACGAGACATAACAAAAATATATTTGTATTTTTAAAAACTAGAAACACGGGAATTTTAAGACCTAAAAATAGTGTTGTCCAAATGACCTCCTTCGGCTGCTTGGCACTCTAGGAACCGCAAATTTTGGAAAACTCGTTTAAAAGTTGTTTTCGGTATTTTGCTAATTTCCCGAATAATATTCGTCTTCAGCTGCTCCAAATTGGTCGGATTATTTTCGTAGACTACCGATTTAAGGTAGCCCCATAGAAAATAATCGCATGGAGAGAGATCGGGGCTACGTGGTGGCCATTCAATATCCCCCCTTTTCGAAATGAGTTTTCCGGGAAACATATTTTTCAGCAGCTCTATGGATACCCTAGCCGTATGACATGTGGCCCCATCCTGTTGAAACCACATCCCCGAGGTATTGCCTTGAAGTTCTTGCAAAGCTGGCACCAAAAAGTCTTTTATGATGTTGCAATAATTGTTAGCTCTAACCGTCATCGCTTGCCCTCTTTCGTTCTCAAAAAAGTATGGCCCAATAATACCGGTTAACGATATCCCAGCCCACACGACAAGCTTAGGGCTGTGAAGTGGACGTTCATGCAAGCGTCGGGGATTAGTTTCGGACCAGAACCGACAATTTTGTTTGTTCACATGGCCATTAAGGTGAAAATTGGCCTCATCACTAAACATCACGTTGTTGAAATTGTTGAACCGCTCGAGCATCAGATTGACAAAGTTAAGTCGGTTATTGGCATCATCTGGTTTTAATTCTTGGACTATCTGAATCTTATAAGCCTTCAAATGCAAATCACGCTTCATAATTCGTCGCAAAGTCGTTCTTTTGATGTCCAAAGACTGACTTCTCTTACGTTGCGGATTTCGCTGAACGGAAACATGAACTCGCTCCACAATGTCGGCTGATCTTGCAGAAACTGGGCGACCACTAGGCATAATTGGTACTGTTGAGCCGGTTGTTTCGAACATTCTGATCCATTTCCGTATCACATTGGCGCTTGGAACTTCACTTAAATTGCGTAAACCGTGTTCATGTCGATACAAACGTCGTGCAGTAATCACAGATTTATTGTTTTCGTAATACGCTCGGACACGAAATGCACGCTGCGCTCCCGTGTACGGCTCCATGGCGACTAAATTTCCAGGAAGCGGGGCAGCTAACAACATATGCCACAGCTGCCCCGCGCCACGCGTTTCCGAGAAATTGAAGAAATAAACCGCCAACACCCTTATGGCCCACCCTGTATATAAATCTGCTTTCAAATTGACATTAAAAATGTTCAAGCACAAACACCAAACCTAATTAAAGCTTAAATCAAACTCTAATTTCAGTGTTTACACTAGTCTACGATTTTTTTTCTATTGTTTTTTTAATTCCTTGGACTTTATCAACTTCTAGTCAACCTTATTTTCACTCTTTATTTATCAATCCACAGTACTATTTCTATTGTTTCTTCTAAGCGGTAACAAAATATGTTGCTTCTTCATTTTGTAGATTAGTTGTGAGGTAAAATCCTAGAAATATCAAAGTATGAGTACTACTAATTATTATATATCGCGATTATGCAATTTCAAAATATTGTATTTATTTGTAGCCTTAAATTTCTGAGAAAACATGAAACAAACCATAATTAATTTAAACATGTAATAGTAAGTTCCACTTAAATCTAAAATTGTTCCGACCTTGCTGACATTCTAATGTCCCTTTTATAGCTTCCAATTGCAAATTTACAATAATATTGTAAAGTTTTAACTTTTATTTGTTTATAAAAGTGACATTAGGAATACATTTAATCCAGAGACAATATGACGGAATAAGGTGCTACGAACAGCAGCTCGCATCTACGCTGTCGACTTTGCGGTAATGTATCGACATGTCTCTTGGCTACGAACGAAGCGTTTTCGACAATACAATTACGCAAAAGCGGTAGTGTATGTAGACTACTTTTCGACACCAATATGGCTAGACCCCCTGGCTATCTCATTTGCCTCGCGTCTGCCCTGTCCCTCATGCCACATAAAACAAGTACCTTCTTGTTCAGCTAAGTTAACTGTCAAATTAAATACTGAAAGCTTTCTTTTGTAGTAAAGGACACTTATATTACCGTATGGAGCAGTTAGAACTTTTTGAAAGTCAAATGTGGCGACTAATAATTTACCGTTTGATATTTTGGCAAGTTCTTTATCACACAACTTCTTTTTGCGAGCTATCTCTTTATTTTGAAGGTGTTCTTCATGTAATTGTGTTTCAGATAATGTCGGACTAGATATGTTCTTGTAAGTATGGCATTTGTCACACTAGTCTTTTTTGGCACATAGAAACTAATCTTAAAGTGTTCATTAACGATGTCGCGGTATTGCCGTTCAGTACTAGCTTTTGAAGAGTACGTACGCGTGTCGAACCATTCATTATATAAATCAAACAAGCGCTGAAAATTAAGGGTAAAATTAATCTAGGTAAAGTTTATTACTTCTACTGCGAGTATAATGAGAATCTACAGGCTGTAGAGATTTAATGTGATCACATACACTTTCGATAACATCTTCAGTTATTATTTTGCGATGATTAGAATGACGGCCTCGTATATCTGGTTCTATTAAGCCACTTGTGGTACTTCTTTTTTCTAAAGACGTGTACACAAATTGTTCACTTACTGAAAATGTGTTTAAAAACATCTTTTTACATACAGTTAAATAGTTTTCCTGATTTTCCATATCAGCTCTTGCCAGTCTATAAATTAAAGTAAAATTACGCCTGGATTCAGTATCAGTAAAAACCCTGCGTTTTTTTTGTTTCACAACCAAATTTGCAATAAAAGCCCATTGCTTTTCACGGTTACCTAAACCCCAAAACCTATTGAAAATCAAAATTCTTTGCTCATTGCTCATTTTCATTGAACACTTCAATCTGCAGTTCATATGACACGTAGGGCCTAAAGATTTACCACACCTTAGGCCCTTCTCCCATTACGATACTTGTAGGGTACGATACTCGAGTATAATACTAGTTGGATACATGTTCGCTACGCGACGCTCGCATATTATGCTACTGAAAAATTACTAAATTCATCATTTGTGCAAACTTGTTTTTTGTAGACGGACGTTATGTCGAGCGACTCCAGTGACGAAGAAGCTCTTGCAGTTTTTCTGTTTTATAGAAATAGAAGACGTCAACGCAAGAGTAGAAAATACTGGATTCATCCATATATTGAAAGAAACATAAATTGTAGAGTTTTTGTAGCCGCACAAGAACTACAACATGATGATAAGAATTTTTTATCTTTCTACCGAATGTCTAAAGAGACCTACTTGCATCTTGTTACATTATTAAAACCAGCTATACATCAACGAAATACTAAATTTAGAGAATGTGTCAGTGCGGAAGAAAGGATTCTGATAACCCTAAGGTAAATAATACTTCATTGTGACATATGTAGGTAATTAAATGTTTATTAAATTTAAATATGTAAGTACTTTATAATTATTACTTATTCTTCATCTTCCTGTGATAATAACATAGGTATTGATTCATAATAAAGACTGGCAGTATTTGATTGTACTACATTCAGACTTTCGTTTATGGTAATTGGCGTACTTATTACCTCGGCAGCACTCATCGGTGAAGGAGTAGAATAAAGTGTGATGGGACTATTCATATTTTCACTACTTTGGTCCATTATATCGTCTATCAATGCAAGCACTCTTCTTTTAAACAGTCTTCTTTGACTATCAGTCATTTTGTTCACGTCCGATAGTAAACTCAGTAAGAACATTTTGTTTGAATTTTCAGTACTGTCACAGTTTTCTAGAATTTTAGATTGTTTAAATTTAAAATAAGCTGAAATGTCTTGCTCGGCTTGAGTTTCTTCCAGCTTCTTCCGTTTTTTTTTATTATTTGTTGATGGTGCTGGTGGTGGTAATTGCTGTTGCGAGATTGGTTGAGTGCTTGTACTAGTAGAAGGAAGAGATGATTGCTGTTGCGAGATTGGTTGAGTGCTTGTACTAGTAGAAGGAAGAGATGATTGCTGTTGCGAGATTGGTTGAGTGTTTGTACTAGTAGAAGGAAGAGATGATTGCTGTTGCGAGATTGGTTGAGTGCTTGTAGGTACATTTTCTGTGAACTGTGTTTGTTCACATAGTTCAAGATCAGGTGTCTGTGGTTCTATCGTCTCTTTCAAATTTCCTGATGGTTTTCCTGCTGTTTTTATGAAGGGTACAGTAAATTGCATATAGTCTGCTAAGTAGTATGGTTTTTTTTGTGCAGTACCTGCTCCACTTTTGGCCGGTTTCAAGTGGCGAACAAAAACACTACGTAGATTTTTCCACTTTTCTTTAGCTTCTGATCCCGAAAATAACCTTAATATTAATTGTTTTTCAGATATTTGGGGTCAGGTTGTACGTTTGTAAGCCTAGGATTGTATTTTGCAAGAGGAGATAATACAATTTGCAAGGTCATAGCTGAAATGACAGTTATAATATGGGAGATATTAAATGGAGACTATATGCCATTACCAGATAGAATAAACGTTTCTTGGTTTATTCTTGATAAATGTTTGGGACAGTGCAGCGATGATCGTAGTGACATTGAAGAGCATAACTCACTGAGATATATATCTTGTAGCACTTCACTGCACTCGCTTAACAGGGCAATAAAACTATGTGTTTAATTATAACACAAAACACACATTTTTTACTTCTGCAGGTGCCACGTACTTGAGTCGGATCGCAAGTCCGATCATACGCTTGCACATATAGTTCTTAAAAATATTCATTTTTCGTTCATCCAGGTGGTTTGGTGGGTGGGCAAAGCAACTCTCCAATACGCGAAAGCTTTCTTTTTGTATCCACCATAAGTTTCCCAATCTTGATTAAATGGAATGTTACTTGCTTGTATTTAGTCCGGAATCAGATTCTAAGAATTTGACATTTTTGTCAAGTTTCGCCCATTGATACGCAAGAGTCCTTTCTTTCAGTCTTTCAGTTCTATCGCAGGTACAGTTATAAATGTCTCCGGTTTATGATTTCCCGACCATTCCTTGACCATGTTTGTTGCGACTGAAAGAAATCTAGACAAAGGACGACGTTCTCGCAAAGTGTGGCTGGCTGTCTTTTATATCTCTATGGAATGACTGTAGTGCATTGTTTGTCACTGGAGAACCTTCGGCTGATCACAGACACCAATTTGGATTGAGTGAAACCCACTCATTTTTTAAATACGCTATGAACCGTTCTTCACTTGCATGATTACGTAAAAACGCAGTTAACGCTCGTTGAAATAACGTAGGAGAGGTAGCTGAATGGAACGAGTCGATATCGTGTTTTAAACTTTTATCTTTGTAGTTCCGATTTTAGCGTCCCACAAAATAGGCTCGGATTGAAAGTATTCGATAAATTTCAACTCAAGTTCGTTATTCCACATTTTGAAAAGAAAACAAATTTTTTAAAACAAATAATACGATATGGACTATGGAAGTCTACTCTCCGCAGCTCACTAATTGGCACTGAGACAAAACCTGAGTGTGAGTTTTCTCTTTTCTCGCCCGAGAAATCCTTTGAAGCGGCAAAAGTACCGATAACCTTTGGAGAACAGGCGAGTACGAGAACGAGACAGCGAGAAACTCCTCACACTTACGCTTCCCGGGTGTTCTCGGCCTGAGTCTGTATGGGCTTTAATAATCTACTGGAATGTTCATGATTATCCTCCCCCTGCAATAAAGCTGCGCGAATGAATCGTCAGTAAAGCTTGATGCAAGAAATCATCCATTCTTGGCAAAGGGTATGTGGCAGGTTTAGTTACGTCGTTCAAACGTTGGGAATCAATACATATTACATACATCGTTTTCACCTTTAGGAACGAGGATAGCTGGTGCTGCCCGAGGTGAGTCACAGTCCTCAATGATATCATTTTCTAAAATTTTATCTATTTTTGTCCTTTATTGTTTTTGACGAAGAGGTGATAATCGATATGGTTTTACAGATACTAGTTGGTGATTATCGGTATCAATTGTATGCTCTATGTTTGTAGTTGGGAAACCAGTTTTATTAAAAATTGTTTTATTCTCAAACAATAGATAATTTAATTGTGATCGTTCTCCATCATCAAAAGAATCAAAAGAAAAATCAAAAGAATAAAGTTTAATTGGATTTATTGGTATGTATTGTACACGAGGATCTTTATGCTTTAATGTATCTTAAAGCATAAAGAGAGTGTAATTGGGATTTCCTATGGTTATTTCAATCGTTATTACTTTGTGCTTCTGCAGGATTGTGGATCCATCAGCCATATTAATTATAGCTTTGTCCGTAAAAGTGTCGCCTTCTATTAATGATAATTCATATAATGTTGCGTTGTTGAACCAGCGATACTTGTACGAGCCGCGGAGTCTAAATAAGCGTAATATAAAAAACATGCGTATTGCGTATACGTCATGAACGTTTAAATACACCAAACTATTACCTGTTTACACCTGGCTGCGAAGTAGTTGCGGCCGAGTGTGCAACGGCACCCATCGATTTTCGAATTCTTTACAAACATTGCTATGATGTGGATGGTATTTTATTTAAAAAATAATTGAACGAAATTTTTTTTGGCAAATTAATTATCATTTATTTAATTAAAATTACTTGCGGCCACTTATTGACTGGCACCCTGTTATCAATTTATTCTCCTAATCATAAATCAATGTAAAAATGTTAATTTGATTAACTACGCGATGAACGTAGAGATTTTGCAGCCGGATGTCGTACTATCAATTATGGGTATTTTTACTCCATCTCCAATAGTTTTATTAATAATAGAATAAAATTACACTGGATTTGGTGGCGTTTCTTTCCTTTTGCAGTTCAAGTAATTATTGCTCCTGTACACTCCCGGAGTGCCACAACCAAAACACTTAACACCTGGCGTCTCCATATTCTTTGCTCTTTCATTGTATTGCTTTTTCCTGCACTCATCTTCTGTATGACCCCTCTTGTTACAATAGTTGCACCTTTTGGTTATTAATTTGTCTCCCTCTTCATTATATTATTTTCTATAAATATAATATAATATTTTTTTCTAATAAATATTTAGTAAACCATAAATTAAATCAATTTGATCTTGGTAATTGTGATAAAAGTGCACGTTCTGTATATATACATTGACACACAATTGATTCTTTGAAACCTTGGTGTGTAGAAAATAATTCTAAATAAATTTCGTGAGGTTGCTTTTTCGGGGCGAAAGATTCTCTTATCAAATTTATTGCTGAAGTACAAGTTTTTGCCTCCGTTATTACTCCTTGCCACCACGTTGATGCTTGACCAGTTAATAATAACCCCAAACGTTCTATAGGACCCTTTTATTTCCGGGTGGATACCCCAGCTCACTTTTGCGGCTTTGTCTATTCTTTTAAATAGGTCTATGGTCTTTTTTGTTATGTTTGTTACATGCGCGTTGAATATTAGTTTTTTATCTATGGTAAGTCCCAGAATCTCTACATCTTTTATTTCTAGGGTTTCTCTCTTTCCTTCCAACCTTTTCTTAATCTTGTTCTTTTCTTCGATGCTTCTACAGCCGATGACTACTTTGCCGTCTTTAATCTTTCCAACTCGATCTATTTTTATGCTTCCTTCTTTAGCATTCACTACCTCTCATTCTGTTCAGCATCTGGTCGCTCATCTAATTATCATTTGTTGGAGATATGATCATCGAGTGCAATTCTGCTACTCTGTTTATCATACTTTCTCGTCCTACTGCTTCTGTCTTTTGCTCCTTTTTGTTTCCTGCAGCTACTACACTGGCATATGTAGCTTCTAGTATCTGCTCGTTCTTCCTGTCTCTTTCCCCAAGTTTCTCCGTCTGCTTTTTTACCGTTCCTACTATTTCTTTCATCAGGATTTTGTTATCCTCCAAGATCTTCATCCCGTACTAACTCGTACAGCCTTTTGACTGCGGCCGTTACTGCGGTTTTAATTTCTACCTTGAGATTCCTCGTAGCATTCAACTGTACGAACGCACTCTGCTGTAAAGCCGCTGCTTCCGAAATACGTAATCTGTAAACTTTTACTTAAGTTACCTTCTTCTTGTCCTTGCAACGTGGTGGCTTCCATCTCCCCCGCGCTTTTCTGCGCTCCTGTAGCCGGAGTCGGGGCAGGCGCTTGTAAAGAGGGCAACTCTGCCTCGGTCGCTCTATCAGTCACGCTTGAAGACGGTGATGGCTTATTTTTGGTCGGGGTACTAATACCAAACATGTTTGGTTAGGGTCAGGGCACACTAATACCGGATATGTACTTATTTGTTGTCTGTTAACAATTTATGATAGAAAAATGATACAGATTATTACAATGTTATTAATAATGGTCAGATAAATCTCCTTATCAGCGCTAATCTAATAAGAAATTAAATTTTTTTTTAAAAACCGTTATTATAAACTGAAATCTAATTTATTTTAATTTTAGTATATGTTAATGTGCTATGCAATGAGCTCTATCCAATGGTGTACCAACAAATTATTAATAAGCGACAGAAGATCCCTTTATAAGTATTAATTTAATAAAAATTTACAATTTTGATCGAAAAAGTTGTTTAAAAACGTTATTTAAAAAATGAAATTTAATTTATATTAATTCTTTTATATATGTTAATGCGCTCTGGAATGAGCTCTATCGAATGTATCTACAACTTATCAATAAGGGCCAATAGTACTCTTTATCGGTGTTGATCTAGTGAAATTTTACAAATTTGATCAAAAAATATTTAAAAAAAAAACCGTTATTTAATAGCTGGCATTTAATTTATATTAATTCTTATATTATATAACATAAATATCTTAAAAAGTTAACATAAATATCTTTACATTGAAAGAAAAAAAAATAACCTTAACATAAACTAAAATATATTATTAAAAGGAGTCCCTTTAGGCAAGGTTCCGAAGATACTGGTAGCGTTCCCCCTTTGAATAGCTAGACTAATTCTTTGTCCGAGGTAGTTTCCAGATCTTCGGTCTCCTGTGATGTCGACTAACCGTTTTGATATGTCTTAAAAAAGCCTTAAAGCGCTAGGACCCCACAGACCAAGGGTCTCGACACCGAATGGGACAAAATCATATTCTGAGCCTAGACCCCTGTATTTGCATGCTTTAGTTTTTTCAGCCGCACCAGCTCTGTAGTTGGTTCCATGTAGATGGGAAGGGGCCAGCGTGTCTGAACAGGTTGCATCCCATACCAGTACCCGGCCCATCTTCCATGGAATCAAACTCATACCGTCCGGTCTTGCCATCGTCTCTAGCAATACCACTCGGCTCAAGTAGACTTGGCACGTTGACGGTGGCAAGGGAACGGCGTATGATATCGTTAAGTGCGGCATGTCTCGAGAAGCGGCCTGCACTTTTTTGGCATGACAGGCCGTGGTGTCCTAACTTGTCGACATCACTGCCACAGGGACATATTTGAGGAGCGCAGACCGAAACCCCAAGCCGTAGACAGGTTGCGATTCTAAGCGTGTCAGGCTCAAGAAAAGTTCCTGTATTTGACGAAGGGTAAGCGTGAAGCCAGTAGCCGGCCTCATGCGTATAATTAAGCTCCAAACCAATGGCTTCAAATTTATTTTTGATTAAAAGAAGGTCCGAAAACACAGTATCCACATCACCTCCTAGGGTTCCGTCGTCCAAATACCAAACATTGAAATTAGAATTTAAATTTTTGATTATCGGATTTATAGCCAAACTAAAAATTGCAGGCCCAAGGGGATCACCCTGTTGACAACCTACTTCCGAGGAAAGTTCTTTAGAACGATATAACAATTTAGTTGGATCAGCGTAACTGAGAAGAAGATAATTGTATATTTCCGGTATATATGTTGTTTTATTTCAGTCAGCAGGGTATCCCTATTTACCGAATTAAATGCAATTTTTACATCAATTTTGAGTAACACGTCTGGCTGTCCGTGACCTAAGTCACCAAAGAGCGTAGGGCATGGACGGCTGCCTCACCCTCCTTTCACACCGAAGCCCAACTGTACAGGTTCAAATTCTGAATTTAATTTTGGTAAAATATGTCGAACAGCAATTTTGGAAGCCAGACGTCGTAGTGTTGATCCAACAGCAATTGGTCTCACCCCTTCGTCCTTTTTAGTGAGGGCCATGAGGTTCGCGCCAAAAAGAATGGAAACAATTTCTGTATTGACATCCCCGGAATACATAAAATTTATTAATTTTGTGATCGAGTTAATAAGTTGCTCGCCTGCATCACCTACAGAATGCGATTTTAAATCTTTCAAATGTTGGGGTGATATTCCATCCAATCCTGCAGCCGAACCTGGTTTAAAAGATAAAATTGCATCAATTACATCTTTGTTTCGTTGCCCTGCTGTTGGTGGGTCGAGAAAATATGGATTTACTGGAGCTGGGGGATGTTTTGTCCGTAATGCCTCAAGGGTGTCAGGGGTATCTGGTGATAGCACGTCATTGGAGAACAAAAGGCGAGCGGCACCTTTAAGATCTCCGTCACAAATTTTGATGTCGATGAGTTTTTTGAGATTACAAGGGGAATCATGTTTGATTAGAGGTGCGGGAGAAGATGAGGAACTTACAGCACAGTTATTTTTTATCTTTTGTGTCAGGGATAAATTCGGTTCATCAGTTTTTATTATGTGTAGTGTACTGTATGAAAATAAAAATAGGTTCTGCCAGTCTTGAGTACAATTGCTTATATAACATTTCTGGATTAATTTTAACAAATGTGTAGGAACAGTTATTCGAGCTCTTCGAGAGATTATTTTAACAATGGGTATACTATTTTTCAAATGGCTAAATAATGTATGGAAAGGATTAGAAGTAATGTACACTACTACAAAATAAGGCGCACTCGGAATAATGGGAAGGATTTCTAAAAGTGAACTGGTTTGGCTAATACAGTTTCTGTGTGTTTTAGTAATGTTTATTTTTAGGCCTTTCAAAGATTCGAAATACTTGTTGCAAAATGTTCATGTAGGTATGGGACGCGTTCGTCGTGCCATCACAAGATAGGGTCACGGCCTGCATTCACAACAATTAAGTACTTACATAAAAAATTTAAAAACATAAAAATATAACTTAAAACAAATTTAAAAAACACAACAAAGTAACTTAAAAAGGACACTGATAACAAAAAATAGGTCAAAGTCAAAAATGAAAATGAAGGCGGCTGGTTTTGGTAACAAAACGCATTCGTCGTTTCGTCACAGGATGGACTTGCAATTGGACGTTGCCTTAGCAACCGCGTAGGCAAAATAAGGAGCACAAACACAAGCAAAAGCGGGAGCACAGAGAAAACAAGTGAGTTCAGGTTTAGGAGGAAACAATGCTCGTCTGGCCACTATTCATTGGTCCATTTCACAAACTTTGCACAACACAAATTTTTTCTCATCTCGTGTTTTTTTTGTAATTTAAATTTTTATTGAATTTGTTTACTTCCATGCAATATATTTCAGAATTTCGCAACATATTCCATTTATAATCATTAATATATATTTCTAAATTCTTATAAATAAAATTTTTGATGTTGTCACATTGACAACCAAATTCGTATTCTTATATATATGTTAATGTGCTCTGGAATGAGCTCTATCCAATGGTGTATTAATCTTTCACGGTTATCCTCTGGAGAGTGGCTGGAGCTTCCGGTAGATCGGTTTTTCTGTCCTAGGTATGCTGTTTCTAATTTAAGGAATTCTGATTTATCCATCTGCATTTTAAAGTTAGATTCGCGGAGACGTTAAAATTCTTTTTCGAGGTTAATTACGTGCTCTTGTAAACTAGTGCTATATACGACTATATCATCTAAATAGACTAAACAGATAACGTTTTGTAAGCCACGTAAAACATTATCCATAACTCTTTGAAAAGTTGATGGCGAGTTCTTAAGTCCCATGGGCATCCTTAGAAATTCGAAATGCCCGTGTTTTACATTGAATGCGGTCTTTGGAATGTCGATTGGGTCCATTTCCACTTACTAAATCAAGAGTAGGGAAGTACTGGCATTTGCCTAAGGGGGCGTCCATAAATTACGTGAGGTGTTTTTTATAATTTTCTGACCCTCCCTCCCCCTGGTGAGATGTCGTGAGATTTTGTTCAACCCCCTCCCCCATCCCCCAATCTCACGTGAGTTTTTCAAAATGTGGGTTTCTTACGTAAACGCGTTGGATTGTTATTGTAAAAAGAAAAAAAAGTTTGCTTCGTGCTTTTATTTAAGACTAGTAATCAATATTGCTGAGAGTTTAATTATAAGTGTAATAAAAATTTAACAATAGAATACTTAAATCGTAACTACTGTGATTAAAAAAAGAATATCTACTCTAATTCAGTCCATGGATAATCATGCGCGGTCTCAAGAGAGACTATTGGAACCAACATGTCCATATGATTTTCAGTAAAATCATCTGCTCCTTCAACTTCGTTCTGATCTAGCCACTCTAAACCATTGGCACTTGCACACAGTAACTCATTAGCTCGTCTTGTGACAATCCGTGAGGGTCGGACCTTGCGGAACATACGCGCTTGCTTAGCTGGTGCAATGTGGGCTGATCGCCTGTGCTCTGTAGCTCTTTTGCTAGATGCAAAGTAAATACCGCATGTACTGCAGCATCTTTTCTCTAAATCATCACGAACACTTGGGCAATAGAGATCATAAGGCGTGCTGATGAAGGCATTCAGCGGTTGAATCGGTAGGCAGTGGCGTATTAAAAATGGAACAAATGACTTTCCGTCATGCTCTTTAAAGTCCGGAATTGTCAAATGTCCATCAACTTGAGTGATAGGGTATGGAGGCGGCAGAAAACGGTCGTGAAGAATCATATGCAGATCACTCCGGCGTGGGCTGCAGCACTTCTGGTCATCGCATTTTACAACCTAAAAAAAAAATTAATAACTCTTAATAAAAATTTGTTGATATTCGTGCTCGTTTAAAAAAAAAAATTAGGCACGTATAGAAATTTGATATGAACCAACTGCTAATGTACCTGGAGTAAATATTGGCTTTCTCTAACGTGCTCAGTGTACCATTCTTCGGCTGGCAGGTCTGGAACGCTAGAAGTTTCATTATTCGGCTCTATATATTCAGCGACTACTTCGTGTCCGTCAATGCACACTGCAGACCATATTTCAGCCAAAATATCCCCTGCCTTTTTGAAATTATCCTTTTCCAGACTTTCGTTTAATGTTCTGCCGCTGGAGTCAAGATGTGTCCCAAAAGAATCATGGGGAAGAACAACGCCTGTTAGTTCTCGACTGAGTGGAGCCATGCGTCTCTCTACTCTGTTGAATGCGCTCCGGCCAGGGGCATTAGTCACAATAAATACTGCGTCCAAATCATATAGTTTAAAATGCGCTATGGCGTGTGCGATCACTTTGTGATATCGCGGATTTTCGTCAGGCCCACCGTCGCTTGAAATTATAAGAACAGGTTTAACTTTTCTGTCTATATTTTTTGTAAATTTGGAAAAAGGCTCAATTGTTAAAAGAGTGTCCAAATCTTGAGCGTGACTAGTTGCAGTTGACGAAGAGTGCTTGCCACTTCGTATTGCTATGTAAGTTGGTCCACTATATGAAACAGCTTCTGGTCGTCCCATCTCATTGGGTCTCACTTCACACAAAGCATACACGCTTGGAATTAATTTGTGCCTCGAAGCAATCACAAAGTCGTGGTCTGGTAACGACACTTTATATGCAACGTGCATTAATAATGGCGCCTGCTTGTTTGCCGCTGTCAGGCCGATGGGGACGCGGGCTTTGTCATCCTGAGATAAAAAAATTACGGAGTCAGGACCAAGTACCGAGGCTATCGTTTCCAGCGACCTTATGGAGGCCACAGAAAAGTATTGGTCTTGGTGTGCCTTATGATGGTCAGCTTCAGGACGACTCAGCTTCACCGGCACAGTCACTACATGGCGCTTAGCTTCTCGTGTATTTGCCCGTCTAGGCAACAGTCGAATATAAGTAGCACTTCGTGAAATATTAAATCCCAGCTCGCTTAGTTTATTTGTAAGTTCTGATAGCGTATGGACCGTGCGAACTATCTCACAACGACGACGCTCTTCAGCAGAAGCACCAAACAGGGCTAAATCACTTATTGTTTTTAGCAAATCAGACTGTTCTTTTTCTAAACGTGGGCGTCCAGGGCCAGCACGGGGCGTCAACGACTTAGCTGCATCGGGATTCTTTGAACATAGTTCAATTATTGCTTGTTTTCTATTTGTTCTGTGCGTCATAGAGTACACTCTTTGTTTTTCTTTAAGCTTGAGCTTCTTCTCACAAATGTCAATTTCTCGCCGCAAATTACATGCTTTATCAAATTCAGTGCCGTCAGCTACAAGAGACCTTTTGCGCCTTTCCGTTAAGTCAAGCTCCATATGCAGCTTAGTAATCTTTTTCTTCATAGTATCTTGTGCTGGAGTGGGACGTACGTTGGATGGTGTAGTGTTCGTCATAGCTTCATCCTCATCATCTCTGATCACAAGAGGCAGATTTTTCCGTTTCGAAGCGCCTGTGAAATGCAGAAAACTTTTATTTAGAATAGGACAAAATGAAGAAAACGTCACCTATAGAAAGAAAGACGACCTCCACATTCCACGTTTGGAACACTCTCAGTGCTTGTCCCAGCCTGATTCGAAGAACTGTTAGAAATCTTAGTGTTAGTCTGAAATCAAAGCATCATAATATTAAGAAATAAATCTAATAAATTATAAAGATAGATTAACACAAAATTAAGAAATATTGAATTATGTGAAAACAGTTGAAATGACCGCGCTAATATTTTGTAGTATTATGATTTTAGCATATTTTATCAAGAATTTCACTGTTTCAGTTTTTTTTAATGCTATGAAGGAGGTCCTTTCGCCATCAATGTTAAATAAAAAATATTAGATTATGCATATTAAAATTAATTTTTATCTAATAGTTAAAGTCCTAATTTATCTACTTAATGAAGTTTAATTTATTCTTCACCATGCAAATTAAAAAAAAAATTAAAAATGTTAATATTTTGAGTCTTTATAAACGAGAAAGTCAGACCTAAAACAACTTTCTCGAATTATGGCATTAACCATTGATTTAAGATGGGGTAAAAAACGCAAAATAAGGTTTTCGAAATATTCAGTTTTGATTTTTTGCAATAAAATCTATAGGGAATTTATAGAGAAATTAAAATTATAAAATAACAGATTTTTTAAAGTAATCTGCATTTAAATGGCGTCAGAACATTTGGCGACGTTGCGAAGCGCGCGAGCTTCAGACCATTCAATAAATTCAAACTAAACTTCAATGCACTAATATGTTTTTCATACATACTTATAAGTTAATTTATTGTTAACAAATTTTCATATTTCATAATTGAAAAATAAAACAATAATTAAAAAATATGTACTAGCATTCCTGCCATGAGACATATTAGAATGTTATAGTTTTGTAATTTAACAGTTTTAATTAATTTATTTATTTGCATTGACAAAAACTTTACATGGTTTAGATTATATTGTGCAAATGAAAATGTAACAACCGAAATATAGCGTTGCCAAATCACGGACAGGTTACTAACAGCTGATTTAAAAGAGCCAAACTAATTTTTGTATTTAACTATTTTTTTTTTTAATTTTCAAAATTTCAACTATTAATGCCTCATTTATCATAATTTTAATTTTTTAATTTTAGGAATTTGTATGGATTCTTTATTTTAATTTATCGAATATTGACTACTACAGTTGTTGTGACTCAACTGGAGCGAAAGGACTTCCTAAATATTGTAACAATTTTATATAAAAAAAGTATTTAAAAAAAATATTTAACCTACTTTTTTAAGGAATGCTAAAGTAGACCGAACTTTTCTCTCAGTGGCTTCCCTGAGAAGCCGTTCAATCTCATGTTCAATGTGATGTATTAACTCTTCTTTCTTCGGGAATTTTTGCTTCGCTGTATTCCATAATTGTATCACATCGTCCTGGCAGGACTTCTTCGTCTTATAGACGTATCTTTTGACGTATGCGTTATAAAAATCTTGATAACTCATTTTAAATTAGTAAGAGAATGCACTGAGTCGAGTAAAACATTTACAAGAATAAACAAAGCATGTTGGAACATGTCCGTGTGTCGCTGCCACTGGCGCGTCGTTCGATCGATTTTTAACTTAAAAATCCGTTATGAGGTTTCAAAAACTGCGTCGAATGCCACCAATCGCGTAAAAATCGGTTCATTTATTCAAAAGTTATTGTGGTTTGAAAATTCAAAAAATACTGTTTTATCAAACTTCTATCAGACTTTCATAAATTCTTACTGACTTTCTAAATTCATTTCAAATTCGTACTTTTGAGCTCGAAGAGCTAAAAACTGAGCGTTTAGGTGTGGAGTTAGCGAGATGTTGCAGAGGTGGCATTTAGGGTCAACCGTTTTCCAAATTTTTTTTTCAATCAGAAAAAAAATTGCGTGATATTTGCCGAGACCCCCCCTCTCTCCAACGTGAGATTTAATGAGATTTGACTCGACCCCCTCCCCCCCTAAAACACCTCACGTAATTTATGGACGCCCCCTAATTTGTCAAGGACGTCGGTTATGTTTGGTATAGGATATTTGTCATCGATAGTTTTCTCATTTACGAAAATCGACTACTAATCTCCATTTCTGTTTTCCCGAAGCATCGGCCTTTTTTGGTACGACCCAAATTGGTGAGCTCCAAGCTGAGTCGGAAGGTCTTATTATTCCTTGATTCAACATTTTTCGATTTGATCCCTAACTTCTTGCCTGTGTATGTGCGGATATCGATAACTTTTAGTATATATGGGAATTTCATCGGTTGTTCTAATTCGGTGTTTGATTTTGTTGGTAAAAGTAAGCGATTCCTCTTCAATATAAAAAAAAACATCTGCATATTTAGAGCCAACTGAAATTAAATTAGCTTTTTCTTCCGAGTTTAAATGCTCAGTACGTAATTTCGAAATAACCTCTTCGACTCTATTTGGTGAACGACTGTCGAAACTTTCAATATTAAATAATTCCGCGGTTGCGGGGTTAGTTATAGTTCTGCACTAACTGGTCGGTCCCTCGAGAATACTACATCATGTTTAGTCGGGTTGGTAATTTCAATAAAACCTCGGTTGTTCTTTACATTAGTAAGACAGTCATGAATAGATATTGTCTGTTCAGTCACAAATGCGTCACCGTCATGAAATTTAATCGGAACTCGAATTATTCTAGACAGATTAGCCTGTATTATTTCCTCATAGAGATTACAGTTCGGTGAATCATACATAGCGCCGTGTAACTAGGACTTAATTTTTTAAATTAATGCTAGATTCCAGTTTCTCCAGCAAGTCTAGTCCAATTAAGCCATCGAAATAATTGTGAAATTTATATATGAACAAAGTTATTTCACAATCTTCACCGAATTCGCGAAAACATGGTATAGTTATGGAATAATTATTTCGAGTGGTAGCATGAATGTTAGTAACCTCAAAAGGGTCGTAATTACCTTGTGCATTGGGATATAATTTTTCTACAGCCTCGGGGCTTATAAATGATTGATTTGCCCCTGTATCAACCAATAGTTTTAAGGGTGGATATGTAATCTGTATGTACGGAAGTTGTCTTTGTGTTTGTAAGTTTATTTCTATTTTTGCTTGTCTGATTTGTGACTTGTCTGAAAATCCTGATTTGAGGTTGAACTCTCCTGTGTCTCTTCAACACTAGGAGGTGAGTATTCGTTACCATCTTGATACTCTGTCATGTTATAAACTGGCTCAGAATAGTAATGTTCCTGGTAATATGGGTCATAGTAATAGTCGTTATAGGAATAATATTCATAGTCATATTGGTCTTGCACCTCATTAAAATTTACATCCTTAAATTTGAAATAGTTTGAAGGTGGTGGGTTCCCATGCCTCGACCAATCGTGCCCGGTAAAGATGGGTTTAGGTGGAAAGGTTTTGCTGACATAGTGACTAACGCCACCCATCGGTTGAGGACCATTATTAACCGGTTTCTGTTGAGGACGTGGGGGTGTACGGAAGACGTTACTTCGGGGATTATAATTAGGTGGAAGGGCACGGAACATTTGTTGGGTACGTGTGGGCATTCTAGGTGGGTATTGTGGGTTTAGGATAGGCATTCTAAATTGGTAAGGAGGGTTAGGTTTGAATTGTGGCGGAAAAGTATATGTACCTGTGGTAAATATATTTGACGAATTGTTAGTGTTATATATAGGCTTAGGTAGATTACTGTTATAATTAGATGAATGATTCGACTTAGATGAAGCATCGTTACGTTGCTGGAGATATATGGTATTTAATTCTTCTTGAACGTATTCAAGAGCCTTTTCAATAGAATCGGGCCTCATGCACCTTATACGAGACCCAAGTGGCTCCTTAAGGCCACGAATAAATGCCTGTTTCGTTAATTTTTTGTATAGGTGCCGTTTGGCATCTATTGTTGTAGAGGTTTCGTGTAAAGTGACATAAATCATCATCGTACTGAATAAAGATTGTAATTTATCATAAGATTCTTGAGGGGTACTATTACCTTGAGTTTGTAAGGAAATATCATTGTACAGAGCCGTCTCGTCCCTCTGGTCTGAAAAGTTGTTAAGCGACGCTTCCCGTATGCCACCCTAGCTTTCAGGGATGCCATTACTATTTATAAGGCAAGCTATTTTATTTAAAATACCGTTAATTAGAGATAAGTTTGATAAAGTTGATTCGTCGCATATTCTAATAAATCTAGTTATTACATGAGGGTTCCCGTCAAATTCAGGCACCACCCGTAAAGCTTTAAAAATAACATCGGGGTCAAAAGACATTTCTCCTAAATTTCTTATGCTATCAATACAATTATTTCTAGAGGACTGTTGGTGAGTAACAGCCTCCTTGTTACTTAATTCCCTTGGATGGAAAATTGTGTAAAACCTAGGATATATAGCAACACAATAAGTAAATTTTGTGCAACACACATTGATTTTCTGGAATGCTGCATCGATTTCTGGATTCCAGGGGTGTTCTTCTTAAATATACTCGATAGTGGTTTTTAAAAAAACCGGTCGGCCAGGCGGGGCCTCGAAACCGATATATTTTCTTGATTTTTCGTAAAATCTTGCCCGCGAGGCGCACCCCGAGTATTCTACCGACTGTGCCAATTATGTTTCACCCGCCCGTGCACTCCCAAAAAAAAACAATTTATTAAGAACTAATTTATTACAAAATTACAAATTAACATACTACTCTTAAGCGCGATGCTGATAAGAATGAATTATTAAAACTTAGTACGATACTGATGCGACGCCGGTTGCCTCCTTCGTCAGCAGAAATTGTATATTGTTAGGTGCAGGGCTGGCACATAACTCGTTACAACGCATATTTATTGATAAACAACAAATCCCCGGCTATAAAAATACAACCAATACGTACTTAGAAATATAAAAAATTGATATAAACTTCCTTCACATCGACTTTGGACCAGGAATGCTCAGAACAGAGCAGAGTGGAAAGAAATGGAGGAGGCCTTTGCCAAAGTTGGGCAAACAGATGGGTTGTCGGTGTCAACGACTCACTAGTGATAATAGTTTAAGTTTAAAATTATGTAAAATTTTCTATCTCAATAATGGCTTTTATTATTATTATTATTACTTCACATCGATTTATCCACAAATTTTCTCAAAAATACAGAGCAACGTCCACACCATGCACTTTTTACGAGGTAATCTGACTAGTGACGTCAAGATGGCAAACGAGTAACTAATAAGAGGTTTTCGGCTTACTCCATAGATGGCATTAGTGGTCATAAAATTGGGTTAAAGGTTTCGCCACATTATAAAATACGTGGTTTCCATTCGATTTTTACAAAAATAAATTAAGTCTTTTTTGACATACGAAGTTATCATTCGACAGCGATGATAAGATAAATTATTTATTTAGTATATTTGCTTTGGCTGCATGTAGCAAAAAGTACTTAACATTATTAATAAACTTACATTATAAAGAAATTCAGATACTCTGTAACAGTGTTATAACATTTCTTATATAATAATTCCTTTAAAAATTTTGTTAACCTCAAGTTATTTGTTTCATTCTTCAAATTTTCTGGTAATTTGTTATATATTTTTATTGAGGAGGTCAATGGTCCTGATTGATGTAATGTTAGTCTGGATGTAGGTGGAATCAGTTCGTTTTTACGAGGTCTTAGTGAGTAAAGGGTTTTTGTATCTTCCCTTTTTTATACATATTAGGATATTTGCGAATAAATTTACATCCTTCCACTAAATATATGCTAGGTAGAGTAAGGATATTGTTCCGAATGAAGTGAGGCTTGCATGAGTCAGTATTTCCTATATTAACTAAAATTCTCAAAAGTTTTTGGCTTGTAAATACGGCAGTGGCATCTACAATGTTACCCCATAAGATAACACCATAGCTCAACCATAAGTATGCATAGGCGTAGTAGGTGACGAGCTGTTTTCATATCGGGCTTTTTTAATTTCGCGAAGTGTGTAAGGGTGTATAGTAAATAAAATAAAATAAAAAGTTAATAATAAGAATAATTATTGTTAATAAGTAGATATTTTTTGTTTTGTTTTTTTTGGGTGGATAAAAACTAAATTTCGTGGGACTTGTTGAGTAAGTAGATGGAACTGTCTTATAACTGCGACTAAAATTTAACTTTAATTGAAGACTCTTCAGCGGAGGAGGGATATTATTCCAACACTTCGTCGCGCTATATTTAAAACTCCCACGAAATAAAGCCGTCCGATGCTGGGGAATGGCCAGCTCCTGAGTACAACTCCTGACTTGGTGCTTGTTGGCATTACTACGCCAGAGGAGCTTTTTGTACAAATATTCAGGTTGTTTAGTATATACTACATCAAATAATAAACATGCCAAATACAATTTTTGTCGACCTTTCATTGTTAGAAAGTTTAGGTTGTTCAAATAGGGGGTGTGATGTGTATTTCATGAAGGAAGGTCGAGAGGTTTTTTCCCTCGGAGTCATCTTTATCAGACAATATTAACACCAATTCTTTCCAAACCCTACGTTTTTAAATCCTATTGACATAATCAGGTGACTCCAAGTCCCATATCGCTTGTCTTTTTTCTATTTCGTCTATGAATAATTCCGTTAAATTTTGGCGCTGAGATTAGCCGCGTGCTGACCAAGCGAGCGGCTTCGCGAGGCAGCCTCGGACATTTGCCGCAGTAGTGCCTCGCGCGGCAAGGCCGAGCCACCATGAACATCGACGCTCAGTATAACTTGAAGTCGAATAGAGGCAAGAGGCATCGGTGAAGTAGGAGGCATCGATGGGGCAGGAGGCATCGATGAGGCAGTTTAAGACATTCAGCTGTCATTCAGAACAATGGTTCGTTTTTTTCTTAGTAGCTCGAGTTTTGACCATTGTGGTTTTGAAGTTCTTTTCTTTATACGAACACTTGTAAAATAAACGATCATTACTCCACTTTGATAACTTTAATATCCCCCATCTTTATCTTTTCTCGGTCTTCATTCTTAATTATATATGAGGGGTATAAAATCAAACACGCCACTGTCCAGACATTGTATCTAGGTCATTCAGAGAAATGTTGGCTAGGCAACATTGTATTAGGTTATGTATTAAAATGTTTTTTTTTAATATTAAGGAGGGTATTTTAAACTAAAATCAATAAGTACTCTATGCTCAACTAATATAAATTCGATAAAAACTCCATAAACCAATATGACAGTGGTGATTTTGCATCTCACATCGGACAATGGTGAATCTGCGTCTAAGGAAAAGGACATTAGCATATTTGCTTCTTAGCATGTTATTAACCGGTATTATGTACAAGAAAAAAAACAAAAGTGATAAGAGTAAAAAGTCTATAATTAACAAAAAGTGCAATGTAACAAATTATGCTTATATTTATGCGTAAGTCCGATACATCACGTTTTACTAAGTTATTGTAGTTAAATTCGTAAGTCAGATTCGGGCACTGCAACTTCACAGACTTCTTCATCCTCTTCAGTTTCATTGCTCTTATTTTCTGCTCGTAAGATCATCTGTTTGTAAAAATCTAAATCATCCCTAGACTTCCAATTCTCGCCACAATGTTTTTTTAGTAGAGCGTCAACATCTTTGATTTTATCTTTCTTTACTACAACTTTGTTTTTTTCTATGGAATCCGGGTTTAAATCAATAAATGGTTTTCCTCTCTTCAGAACTGACTTATAACTTACAATATCAGCGCAGTAGTTAGGCTCACCTTTTACATAAACATCATTGCTTCTGTTTCGTTTTAAGAAAAATCTTTTACATTGATTGAATTGGAAATGCCAGTTTCCTGGTGGACGAATTACATTTCCGAGAGCTGTTTTCCAATCTTTTACATTGTTTAATAACATAACAGTTCCATATTTTTCAAATACTTCTACATATTCCACAGGTTTTAAAATAGTCTCCATACGTTTAATTTCTTTTTCAACAAGACCGAAAACTCGATCTGGTGGAATTAATGAATGACCGGGAACGGGGAAAACTAGCTCGACTGTTTTAATATGGAGCGGTGCCTGAGTCAACCATTTAGCGCACATACCAATCATGATGCTGTTTTTGTTCTGTGCCCCACATCCATCAGCCACCAATCTAATTGTTTTAACATTTTCATTGTACTCTGTATTTTGAAGCGTATTGTAGACTGCTGACGCTATTTCATTTGCGCCTTTACGGTATTCATTTTCGGTCCAGGTATACAGCGTAACATTGTTCCTGTTTTAGGTATTTTCCGGCACCGACTTGACTATTCCAAAATTATAAATGTATAATTGGCGACTGTAATACGCCACTTGATCTGATAATTTAGGTAATACTTGATTTTTCTGGCAATCAAAAGAAAACGTAACTAAATCATCTCTTTTTTCTTTTAGTAGTCGATAAAATGCTCTGGCCTTCAGCATGTGAACCCTTTTCTCAGTCATTAAGTTTACTTTTTCACTTGGATCTGTTGATTTTTTTATGCGTTCAAGTAGCTCATTGCATTTAGAACATGTATCTGTTCGGGGACTTCGAAATCCAAGATTATAGAACCTATTGAAAATTGATCTGAAGTAACATTCACGTACTTGTAGTCCATTGATCTCATTATACATTCTCCACATTTTCCGTATGTTTAGAGTTGATGGCAGATACTTTCTAAAAACAGTAGATCTGCAATAATGTGATTCTAAACACTTAATCTTTTAACTGCACTCAATTTCTGAGTATTTTTCGCTGATGTATTATCTCCACCCCTTTTTTCTTGAACTACGGATCCTGTGCGGACAAATGTTCGAGATACTTTTCGTGTTCTGTGCTCGGTAATTCCCAAAATTTTAATAAAAGCTTTTTGGCAAACTCTAATTAACTGCACTGAATTTCTCTTTCGTACACATCATTTTGTTATGTGTTGCGTCGGCTGCCGTTGTTCAACTCTTGGCCGGCGTCTCTTGACCTTTGACACACGGCAGTGTTTTAATAAAAATGCATCCTGGTCCTTTTTATTCTTTAACCTATAAAATTCTTCATGGAATTTATGTATATCCAACATCGTTAATTTGCAAAACTTAAATTGTTTGTTTTCGGCATCATGATTACAGCGAGGCTGACTCGGCGGCATTTTTTCAGAGTACCTACAAAAATAAAGAACTGATACACAAGTGTATTCTCAACTTTAACTTCTATCAAAGATACCTTAATACCTATTCACTAAATACACTACACGATGGAGTTAAGTGAAAAAAAGTTATTTACTTTTAAGTACAAAAATATAAAAACAGCAAATTCGAGCCGGAGTCGCGCACGAAGCTTAAAACATACAAGATCTAAGATTTCTCATATTAGCTAAACACCAACCAACTAAAAAAAAAATCTAGTCAATATTTTATCGAAGCATCTTTTTGCACTGATTGTACAATCATGTGTAAAGTTGCCGTTGTAAGGATTCAAAATGCTTACCTTTCAACCTTTGCCCTTGCTCGTTTCCACGTCTCTGGTGCTCTTTTCTTCTTCCTAGCGCGTGCTGGAGTCACTTCCACTACATTTTCTTCCATGTTTAATTAGTTTTAAATATTCAGTTTTAAAACGCAAAATAGTTAGACGCAAATTCACAAAGAAATCACAGCAACAGCCATCTTGATGGCGGATTTTAGCGGTCTGTGATTGGCTAAAATGGACTATGGCGCGTTTGAACTTGATTTGTTTGGGACAATGGTGTTTTTGCTTCTTAGCTCAATTTTAAAACGCTATTTTATATGGGACAGTGGGAACATTGCGTCTAAACTGGAACGCGTACTGAATTAGTTTCAACAAGTTCTACTATATGGCATTCATACTTAAGTTTTCATACAAAATGGACAGTGGCGGATTTGCTTTTATACCCCTATTATATATATTTTTTTTGATTATTCTGATGTAATGTAGAAAAATCAAAATCAATCAAGCTTGGAGTAGATGGACTTGTGATGCTTTGTAATGAATCGTTTTCAATGCTATATTTCGAAGCCTGTGATTGAACTCTCGTTCTGGGTCCAGCAGCAGTATTGTATCCGTAGTGTGCCGGGGTGTCAATTGCATCTGCTATGCGTAAATGATGTGGAGTGCTATAACTATTTCTATATTGAATCTTTCTTATAATATTAAATACTTGATACTGGAATTCAAAAATAACATTGTCTTTGAAGCGTTCCACGCTAGGAGCTATACCTTTAAAAAAAGACATCGTTCTACTATCGTCATCTTTTTCTAACGTTTCCATAAACTTAAACATTTTCTTATGTACAGGGTTTATTTCTTCGTTTTTTTCTTTCTTTTGTTGACATTAGTAACTTCAGATTTTTTTTTCTTCCGGCATGTTTGACCCAGATTGGGATGGCCGTGGGGTTATTTATTTCAAAAATTGTAAATTATCATAATATTGATATTTATGTACTGATTTTGAACTTGATCCAGATTTCGATTCACGTATCTATTTGTCGCATTTCATCTACGCATTTCTTATGTTCTTCCATTTCTGAGATATTATTTAGGTTTTTTTTTTATTCACCTAATGGCCTACTCCACGACACCGTCAGGTTCGTGGCCGAGGAAGCTATTCGAAAGGGTTATCTTTATTAAACACAGAAAAATAACAATTTTACATAAAATTAGTTTAGGTCTGCAACAGATGGAGCTATGTGATACTTCACTTTCTGTTACAGACCTATTACACCTTAGGATATTATTAATTTACAGTGTAGTAAGATTAGATAATCTTAGTCTAAATTTGAACTTGAGTTAACAGTGCGAATTTGTAACAAATAAAACTTAAAGTTATTCTTAAAATTAAAATTTGAGTGTACATGTGAATAGTATAATTAGATTAGATAATCTTAGTCTAAGTTTGAACTTGAGTTAACAGTGCGAATTTGTAACAAATAAAACTTAAAGTTATTCTTAAAATTAAAATTTGAGTGTACATGTGAATAGTATAATTAGATTAGATAATCTTAGTCTAAGTTTGAACTTGAGTTAACAGTGCGAATTTGTAACAAATTAAACTCAAAGTTATTCTTGAAATTAAAATTGAAATTGAATGTACATATGAAAATAATAAGATTGGATAGTCTTAGTCTAAATTTGAACTTGAGTTAACAGTGCGAGTTTGTAACAAATAAAACTTAAAGTTAATCTTAAAATTAAAATTTGATTGTACATGTGAGTAGTTTGATTAGATAAGATAATCTTAGTCTAAATTTAAACTAAAATTTAACATAGCGTATTTATATCGAATAAAACTTAAAGTTATTCTTAAAATTAAGGTTGAATGTACAATTGAATCGGATGTTATTTATGTGTTATTAAATGCTTTTAGGTTGTTAATTATGTATTTTATAAATTTTTCGAATGACTTTGACGATATATTCTTGGAGATAATTTCAGTAATGTTGTATGGATCAATATTAATAAAGTTGCAAGTGTCTTCGTGAGTTCTCCTTTGATAGGAGAATCTGGGACATTCACGAATAAGGTGGATGAGGTCTTGAATGGTGGAGTTGTTACAGGGGCAATAAGGATCGTCAGTGATGTGAAATCTGTGTAGGTAGTTCTTTGCGAATGAATGGGCGGTTAGGAATTGGGTCATTTGAAAGGATATGGGGATGGATTGGAAAAATGCGTGAATATTGGAGAGTTGGGGAAACAGTTTTTTAGTAAATTTGCCGGTTGTTTCGTCTATGTATCTGGATTGTGATTTTATTTTAATGTCTTGTTTGATGATGTTCTTAATATGGGAAATGGGACAGGAAATAAGATCAGGGGATTTGTGAAGGGATGCTGCCTTGTTAGCCGCGGCGTCGGCTATTTCATTACCTGGTATGCCTGAATGGCCTTTAACCCATTTGGAAATATGTTAGGGGTGGAGTTTGAATTTATGGAATGGAGCGTGTTGTGTATGTCAGTGACTATGGGATGGGTATTGGTGTATTATTTAAGAGCCGCTATGGATGATTGTGAGTCAGTAAGAATGATGGCATGTGTGATATTTTTGGTGTATAGATACATTGCGGCGTATTTGATGGCGATAAGTTCTGCTTGGAAGACAGAGGTGCTCAAATCACATTGATATGTTGTATATACGACAAGCGCAGCGCCAGTTGAGCCATCCTCATGCTTACTTATAAATATGGTGGAAGTGTTGATGTTCAAGTTCTGCGTGTGCATCTTTTGTTAAAATTTTGATGGGGACTCGTTCTGCAGGATGAAGGAGGTCTGAAAAACGGACAGGGGTTTCGATTGGGATATAGTTGGGTAGTCTGCTTGTGTGTCTGTTTATGCGGGTGGTCTCAGTCTCTGCCGCCTGAAGGAGTTTAAGGTCTAGGGGGGTAAAACGGGCTAGGGCGATCGCTGCATTGGCGGAAACCGTCCTGAATGCTCTGATTGCTCTGAGAGCGAAGCCGCGCTGTAGGCTTATTAGTTTTGATCCGACTGTTTTCTTGGAGGCAATATGTCCCCAGACACTGTAGGCATATGTAGTAATTGGTTCAATAACCATTGAGTATATGGTACGAACGTTTTCGGGGTGTGGGCCCCATGTGTTGCGTACATAGATTTGTAGTTTTTTAAAGACGTTGAGTGTTTTGTGTATAGTGTGTTTCAAGTGATCATTAAATAGTAGTTTATTGTCGATGACGACGCCGAGATATGTTATGTTTTTGCTGAAGGTGAGAGGGGTGTTATCAAATAAGATTTGAGTGTGTTCAGATTGTGGTGTAAATGCGATGAGTTGTGTTTTAGTGGGGCCAAAATGAAGTTTAACACTTTGACCCACATTACATTACTAATATCTGTAAAATAAAAACCACAATTAGATATACTTTCCCTCATTTAACCTAAACAATTTCAATCCAGAAGGGTCAATACCCAATGCATCGCTGTCATACACCGCAGGAAGACCCGATATTGACTCTCCCATTATACTATTTAACCACTCTGTGGTGTCTGATGGTTTTGGAGGAGCTGGTCTACCTCCAGTTGGGCGTCTTCCGTACTTCTCTGCTGCCATTTGTGAAATCGGGACCAAACGCAACAGATACAAACCTTTCTTGCAGGTTTTTTTAATATTGTTATATTTCTGCTGTAACTGCTTAACACTTCGGTGTCTAGTCCCAACTGAATTGAAAACGTCACACAGAGATTTCCATGCTGCATCTTTTTGTACATTGCTGGAGTGATCCGTTATTATACGTATATAGTGTCATTGTATGAATTTTATTATTGCATCTGTACCAAGCATTGTTTTCGGTCTGTGACATACCTTTTCCATAAGGAAAGACAACAATAAGACAACTTTATTTACATTAAGTTTTGATAACTTTTCAAAATAACTGATTAACATATTTACTGTTAGGGTGCTTACATAAAGAAACAGGTTTCCGGTACAGACAAATCTGTACGGGTCGGTACCGATCGGTACAGTGTTGACTCGCATAAAGAAACAGGTGAATCTGTCCTTAGTGACAATCATGGCCTCCAGTTCGTCGGACGAAGATTTTTTACTTTTAGAAAGTACTTACGTCAAATATAGAAAGAGAAGAACAGTTAGTGTATCTGATATTAACAGAAAAAGAACTAAATATGGAACATATTATCATTTATTCTTAAAAGATATAAAGGACGATGAAAAGGAGTTTTATGATTATACAAGGATGACTCAAGAAACATTTTACTACATATTAAATTTAATCGAACATCGCTTAATTAAGAAATGGTGTAACTGGCATGTTCAACCAATTTCACCTGAAGAAAGACTCGTTATCACTATTAGGTAAGTAATGAATAATATTTATTAGTATAAAAATATGCGTAATATAGGTACTGGGTGGTATAATTTCAAAATGAAATGTCTTCTATACCGCTAATAATCGGGGTGTCCACAGCCAATGTTCAAAAAAATTCCTTGACCTTTATTCATTCAGTAGGCTAGTATGTTTTATTTGTAAGTAGTTTTAATCACAATGAAAAATATATTCTTCTGTGGCTAATTGGTTGCTTATAACAGCAATATTGTCACTCGAAGTTTGTGGAAGAGTTATTTCGTTGCAGGTCTCTGGAGTACTATTACGGGAAATATTACTTAAATGAGAGTAGTTTGACATCGAACTAGGGTTACCATATTGCAAAGATTGGTACGCGAACTCGTCGACGACGCTTTGAATGCGGTTTCTAAAAGAAAGTAGCATGTGCTGTGGAATTTTTTCAATGTGTGGTATGAGGCTTTTAAAAAATAAAATATGTTCGTTGTCTGCATCTGTTGTTCTATTCTGTCGGGATTTTTCCTTATCTTGTAAAAATTTAAGTTTTTGATTCTCAATGTCCAATAATTTGTCATTGATTGTTCTCTTCGGCCTTTTCAAAGCGATTTTTGAAACAGGCATCGCAGGAGACACTGTTGGTTGGTCACTCGCATCAGTATCTTCCATGTTGCTTGGTCCAGGTGAAAGAGAACAATCATGGTCATTTGTAGTTTGGGTGTATTCTGTTTCACTATCAAGGCTCACAGCACTATTTGAATGAGATCTTTGTCGCGTCAAACTTCCAGTGGTTAGCCGCGCCTTCACCATAGGTTTGAGAAAAAGTAAGGGTTTAAAATATGGCCATTTGGGATATACTGTAGTTGCCTCATCTCCAGAGCGAGAAGGTGAAATTTTTCCTAACTCTACCGCAAATTGATCCCTTAGATATCTCCATCTTTTTCTTATTTTACTTTCTGAAACAAAAAAGTACTGATATGTAAAAACTTTTTCCTACAGAGGTCAAATACAATTTTATTGTTGTAAATATCAAGGTAAATAAATTTAAAAATACTTATTTCTTTCCAGTTCAATCAATTTAAAAATAATTTTTTATTTAAATCCCAATCATCAGGTTGGGTCTTATACATATAGAACCCTGGCAAGAAATAAGTATTTTTAAATTAATTTAACCCGATGTTTACAACAACAAAATTATATTTGACCTCTGACTGTCTCATAAAATAATGAGCAGAATCATCCCTCCCACGATTTAGCGTTAATTTTTTCTTTTTTACATCCTGTATTCAGGGTGTAATAGTTAAATGTGTTTTTATTTTCAGATATCTTGCAACTGGAGAATCATTCAAATCGCTTTCAAAATTTTCGTATAGGAGTAACAACATTAACAAAAATTATAGAAGAGACGGTTCTAGCAATATGGGAGGAACTGTATACCATACATATGCCTACACCCACCAGAGATATATTTTATTCAATATCTAATGATTTCAATAATATTTGGAATTTCCCTCACGTCATAGGTTGTATAGACGGTAAACATGTGCGCGTAATGTGCCCAAAAAAATCTGGATCTATGTTGTACAACTATAAAAAATATTTTTCTGTGGTACTGCAAGCAGTAGCCGATGCCAATTATAAATTTGTAATGGTAGAAGTCGGGGGCTATGGTAAACAGAGTGATGGCGGTACCTTTAGAGCATCAGATTTGTATCAGTTTCTAAATGAAAGAGAATTAGATATTCCATCGCCCGCTTATTTGCCTAATACCCAAGTCTCTGTTCCTTACGTATTTTTAGCTGATGAAGCGTATCCTTTAAAAACATATTTAATGAAACCCTTTGGGGGACGTGATTTAACAGTGGACCAACAAAATTTTAATAGTCGCTTGTCCCGAGCGAGAAAAACAGTGGAATGTGCATTTGGTAGATTATACTCAAAGTGGCGTTTGTTATCTAAAAGCATCGAAACGGATATTCAACTAGCTGATAAGATCGTAAAAACTATGTGTTTGTTGCACAATATAATTATTGATAAAGAGGGTTTTGAGCGAAACTTGACTTCGGTAAATATTGTTAGACGAAGATGGCACAATCAAAGACTGAGTCCGCCTAGTAATGTTGCTACAAACGCAGAAATAATTTTGTGCAATATTTCAAACATAATCACTTATTATATAATTAAATTGGGTAATACTTTATTATTAATATTTTATAACTACAAAATTAAAATAAATCGAACTGATCATTGAAAGTACTCACCATCCTGTTTCATTTCCAAACTGATCTCTTTCCAACACTTATCTGTAACATTTCTGTTGCTGTGGAACTTATGAGTTTTGTCCCATAAACATTGTTTATCAAACACTAAGGCTATCAAAACTTCGTTATCCAAATCCATTTTTAATATTATTAAACACACCCTACACCAGTAAATGCTTAAACCCGTATGGCACGATCCAGGTAGTCGGCACCGACAAGTTACAACCTGTTTCTTTATAAGTGAGTGAATAGGATTATATTGAAATATTATACCTGCGCTGATCGGTACCGACCCGTACAGATTTGTCTGTACCGGAAACCTGTTTCTTTATGTAAGCACCCTTACATTACCTCTTCTCCCAATTAAAAGTACAATAGTTGTGGATGGGCAATAACTATTACTTACTATTTCATCTAATATTTGTTTATAGGAAGCTCCAGGCATACAACAATTTATGACCTGAGAACCTAAATTTTGGTATAACTTATGAGTTATTTTTTTGCCCATTTCATCGCTAAAAATCATTATTTGATTTTTGTTTATTACATTAGATTTAACATTCTGGTTTACATGTGAGGCGAAGGAAGTACTTGTGAAGCTATTACACATCTCCGCAGAATGAGTCACAGGTGGCAACGACTCCAGAGAAACAGCTGACTGTGAACAACCCGGCATATCTGTTTTACAGTCTGATGTTTGACTGTTTACTAAGGAGTTGTACATCCTTTGATTCTCACTACACAGATCTACCAAGCCATCCATTGCCAGTATATATTCTCCTATTTCCTTTTGTGAGGTGTCATATTTAGAACTAATATTGTTCAAGGATTCCTGCAAATGGAGAATCTCTGACTGAAGGTGTTGTATATCAGCCTCATATTTTAATTTTGTATGATCGAACTTACATTTTAACTGTTTACATTTATTTAATGAGTTAAAATTATTTTTACAGGTAATTTTATTGTTTTTAATAAATCTTTGTGTTTTCTTAATTAATTTCTTAATTTTAATATATTTATTTAACTTATTGTGACCACAACTTATTTGCTGTACTGTGTTATCACAAGTTAAGTCTATCGTTTCAATTTGGTTATTATTTCCCAAAACTGAGTTGGCAGAAGGCAGTGGAGCGGCACCAACCAGTCTATCAAACAGAGCATGTGTATATTGTGGATTTTCTGGCTAGCACCGTCCATTTTGTGGATTGTCTCCTGGGCTTCACTTAATCTACTTTTAAGGTCAGCGTTGAGCTTGAGAGTTGAATCAAACTCATCACTGCACTGATCAAATTGATCTACTAATAATCTAAGTTTATCCCGTTCCTCTGTGATGTTTACTAATTCGCTATGAATTTCAGCCATCTCACTTTTGAGTTTGGTATTGTTGTTTAAAATTTGAAGCACTTCCTTCTCATTGTCATCTTGTTCTCTTTGCAACTCCTCACACAAATTTTTGTATTTATTTAATTCCTGAAATGTTAATTGGAGTTTTGATTCCTCCAAGCGAGCCCCGCGAAGAACCCCTTCTGGTCATCACTCTATCCATTCCAGATGCAAAAAATAGAGAATTGACAAATCAGATGGGTGTTAAGTCAAAGTTAGAAGAAGAGTTGCAAAGTTTGAGGTTGTAAGTTAATCAGTTCAAGTTAATCTCTTGGCAATAAACACCAAGACACAGCATTTTTTTGATATGCTTTTCTACTTCTTTCTTGTGACATTCTGGAAATCTATATGATTTAGTATGAATGTCACTATTAGTTTTGATATGATGTTTAATTGCAGAAGTATAAGTAAGTTGATCGTCGGGAAGATAGAATATGTCAGAGAATTTCGAACACAGTTCAGCATTCTTCTCCTCTATATTTAAATTAATCAATCTCAATGAGTTAATAACTTCATTCATTATATCACGACTTATTAAATTAATGGGATCTAACGGTATTATTTTAAGATTTAGGTTAGTTTTTATCTTTTACTTTAACAATACAATTAGAAAATAGAAGTTTTGCTGAAATGTGCTGATCCATAATTAACCCTTCCTTATGATTAGTTTTATGTACTGTTCATCGTATGATAGCTACTGAACGGGGGAATGACGAAGATAGGTTTGGAAAACATTAATTTAATCTTGTAGTAAGGACGGGACTAAATAAGAACGATGTTTACAGTTCGAAGATACATTTAATACTCCCTGCTCTAATACAATGCATGTGAATTTATACTAATATAATCATTAGTATAGATATAAGGCATAGGAACGCCACATGCCGCCCCACCAAAAAAAAAATGGAAAATATAGAAACATTTTTTAAATTACATAATATGAGTAATATTAATATATGACTACACATAACAAGGCTACACATACAATTTAAAATGTTAAACAAAACTAAACAAATATAGTATTTTTTTTTAAATATTAAAAATATTCTTAAATTTAAAATACAATTAAGTACAATAGCAATATCTTATCACATAAAAATATAAGTAAGTATAAGTATCTAAACATAAGTGTAGTAATACAATATCGGAATGTAATAAACATCATCTGTACATTTGGTACAGCCACAATCACAAGTCTTACTAAAATCATTATAATATTTATTTAATATAAAGTCTTGTCCGATTTTTATGAATAGTTTTTACTTTGCCATTCACTAAAATTACTACATTCGGCGACAATTCGTGAATTATCGTTAGCAATCTATCCCTATCTGCACCAATTATTGGGGTCCTGACACTCCCATCGTCCACCGCGACCACATGCTGCACAATCGGTACAATACCAGACCTCACAAGCCGCTGTTCTCCATTACTTCGAATGTATGTCAAACCCTTTCGGTTCAGTACGTCGGTACCAATCAAAAATCAATGGGTGCATTTATGCACTGAGAAGGAACAACAAATAAATCTATTTCTAATGACATTTCAGGAAATTCTATAACTGTCGTAACTAGAGAAGTCGACTCAATTTCTTGACTTCCAATTCCACGCATCAAGCGATAAGTTGGCACTCTATTCAAATTCAAACATTTCAGTACTGACTCTGAAATCAAAGAAATATCCGACCCACTATTGATCAAAACATCGACTGGTACTTTTTGAAGTACTGCTGATATTACGTTACTTTGTTTGGGGTCAAGTCTCTTGCAAAAATTTACTTCATTGATTTTTTTATCACCACCGTCAGAACGCTGTTTTGAAAACATGAATCTATCAAATGTCCATTACACTTACAAAATGTGCAATATTTAACTGACCTGTTTTGATTGTCGCTTGATGCAATTGGAGATGGTTATGTGAAATTGTCACCCTGAGTAGAATTCGTAGGATCAGCTCTAAGTATTTTAGGACAATGCCATTTCTTATGACCCAATTTTCCACAGGTGTGGCAAGTAATTTTGTTATTATCAAACCTAGACGCCTCGCGTTTTCGCGTGTAAGACGGACCTGAACTACTAAAAGAACGAACGGTATTGTTAGATTGGCGGGAATCGTATTTAGGTTTTACATAAACATATGAAAATTCAATCAAACCTTTTGAGTGCAATTTAGCATTTGTGGCCGCGGCTTTTATTTGGGGATCACTAATGCCTCGAACAACATGTTATGGGTTTATATCATAAATAAAACAAATTAGCATATATTAGGATATTTATAAACTAGCAAAATATATTAAACTAAATCTTATAATTAACTAAAAATACATAAATGTGGGCGCCAGGAGGATTTTGGTTTATCCTGCCAAACCTAATATATGTGGTAATGTTTATCACATAAACAAATAGTCAATTTGTTATTCAATAAATGAATATCTAATTCGAGGGCATTTCCCAAAGCTAAAACAAATCAAACATTTCAGATTGTTTCACAACCAAAATAAAACTAAACCATACAATAATAATTAAATGAAACATACCCCTCAAGTTATAATTTGATATTATAATAGCGGTTTTCAGCTCATCGGATAAACCTTTAACGATATTAAAACGTAGCAAAGATTCCGCATTAAGTAGAAAACTTATTAGAGTTTGTACTCATTACCTCAAATAATACAGAAGCCATGTCAACGTTACGTGGACATTACGATTTAATTCAAGTTTAAAACTACTCCACGATCAATCATTTGTCACCCAATCGTTTAACCACAACTTCGCATCTCCTTTCAAACAACTACCTATCCGTCCTAGACATTCGCGATCATCCCAATTATTTAGAGGCCGGGCACGGTCAACCTCGTGTATTAAGACACAAATTATTTAATGGAATGCATATTTTAGCGAAATCTGGAATAAGTTTTCGATAATAGTTTGAAAAGCTACGAATCGCTTGAGTTCATCTAGATTTTTAGGGACTGGATAGTTAATTAATGCTTTAATTTTTCTGGGTCTGGTTTAATTCCATCGGCTGATACATGTCCTAGGTATAAAATTTCTTTACGTAGAAAATCGCACTAGTCAGGATTTAATTTTAAATTCACTTGTCTGAGTCTTGCCAAAATATCTAGTAAATTTTTATTGTGACTATCTAAATTTCTCCCGAAACAAATTAAATTATCCAAATTTACAAAACATTTGTCATTATTAAGTTGCGACGTTGCTACTGTCATTAAACGTGAAAACGAACCAGGGCTGGTTTTTAAACACATAGGCATTCGTGTCATTTGATACTGACCGGACGGTGTAGTGAAAGCAGTATATTTGCTACTGTCGGCATTTAATTTCGATTGATAATAAGCTTGTGTTAAATCCAATTGAGAAAAATAAATAGCTCCTGATAGCGAGTTTTATTGTATGGGAGGGGAAATTTATCATGCATTATACAATTATTTAATTAACGAAAATCTATCACTAAACGCCAGTTTTTACTATTATCCTCTGTTTTCTTAGGTAGTAGTAGAGGAGGCTGGGGTTCGAAGTTCCGATTTTTGAGTAGGACGTAATAAAAATGTTATAGAAAGATTAAAATCCATTTTACCTGTATAAAAATAATCAGAAATTATCCTTGTTTCAAATTGTATAGTAAAATTCATTGAAATAATAATATATTTTGGCACAGGATATTTTTTTTGTAGCAAGTCGACAAGGAACAACTCGCCCCACAAAGGGCCAGCCCCTTTTGTTCCTTAGTTGAGGTAAGTTGTTCCGCTGTCAACTCCAATCATTAATAAGGTAATATTAGTTGGAAAAGTATGTATAAAATAAATAATGCACATTTTCTGAATATTTATGAAAGCTTCATTTATAATATGAATAAAGTAAAATACAAAATTTTAATGATTTCTAGTTCTAATACTTTCTGGGGGTCCATCACGAATAAATAGGTCTTTATACTTAAGGCGAGGAAAAACAAACATAGGTGGTATAGTGTTTCCAACTGCATTAGCTGCTAATTCGACGGTAACTAAAGTTTCCCGCTCTGCTGATACTATGGCATCTACTTGCTTAACGCCCTTTGCAGCTACAATTTTCTTTGGTTTTAATACAGTGGTGACTCCTGTTTCGTCCAAGTTCCATATTCTAGATGGTAGTAAGTTATGTTTCAATATGACATCTCCGAGCTTGTTAAAAAATGTATTTACATTGTGCCGGTTAAAAGATGATGCGCGTGGCGCACTTGTGGCTTCCGGAGATCTTATGGATAAAGACAGATTTCTTTTCAGAAAACCCGTGAACCAATCAGCTCTAGCTTCCTTATTTCTTCTAAGAGACTGGAATGTTAGGCCCCGTATTCATGGGAAACATTTGTTGAGCAACAAAGTTGAATCAACGTGTTGCGGAGTTGCTGTCAACATGTTGCTGGCAACACTGCGTGTTGCAGAGTTGACAGCATCATGTTGACAAGCTCTCGCCCGACAAGCGTAAACATCAGTTTAGCGACAATTGTTGACGTGTGTGGACGAGTTTGCAACAGTTTATAAACATGGCAGTAGTGTGGAGCAATGATAAAATAATGCAATTAATAGAATTATTTCAATCAAAACCATTATTATGGGATTGTTCTATAAAACAATACAAAGATAGAAACAAAAAGAACGATGCATTCGAAGAAATTTCTCAAGTCCTAAATATACCCAAAAAAGACGTAGAAACTAAAATACATGTACTGCGTACTCAATTTACTAGAGAGAAAAAAAAGATGTCGGCAAAAAAAACTACAGGCAGCGGCGCAATAGAAAAATGTAAATGGATTTATTACGAGCCATTGGAATTTTTGTTATGTGGTGCAACTACTTCTGGTGAAACGGATACTATGAATAAAACAGTAAGTTGTTTTTGTATATAATTGTTTTATACTATTGTCTGTAAAATTATTACAATTACGCTACATTATTTTGCCATGGAACTCTTCCCTCTGGAGTTATAAAGTAATCGGCAAACTGTTCTCTAATACAAAGAGCTGATTGTGATGCAGGCCTGCCCCGTCTTTGCAAATCAATCATAGGAAACGAACTTAGTTCCCTTCGCCAAGAACCTTCTAATAGGTTACCTTCAGAGTCTTCAAAATCAAAAGTGGTAACGGTTTTGAATACCATCGCACTTTTTTGACGATACTAATTATTTAGGAGTCTCGGAGGACCTTCATTGGAACACCTCCAAGTGAGTTTTGCTCCGGAAACGCGTCAAAAAAAACGCGTTTTTTTTTTTTTCACCTGGGGAAACCCGATTACGGGCCCCCGCGCCTGGGCAAGTGTGATTGGCGCGGGGAGTGTGGGGATCAAGGTCGTAAAATGCGATGGTCCCCATACCCACTAAAACCACCAGGGCCCAATACATAGCCATAGCACGTGTAGAGCAGTAAACAAAAGCAAAATAAGCAATATAGCAAAATAAAAAATCGGTCAGTCAGTGTTTAATTTATAGACATATTTGACAGCTTTAATTAGCTCCAAAAATGGGTCTTTTTTATGTTTTGTATTGTTTCGCCGCCACAAATATTCATAGACATGATCTGAAAAATTTTCAGAGTTATTATAATTATCCTTTTTAAAAAATCTTTTTACTGCCCTCCACTGTGACTCAATCCTTTGCGTATGGGTTCCATCTTCAGCCACAAACGGGTTTTCAGGGTCTGAATGATTCACTTTTTGATGTATGTACCCATGGTCTGCCAGACAATCGTATGCTTTCCAGAAGTCAGTATGAATGATAGTACCAACTTCAACATGTTTTTGAATGAGAGGAAGTAATATATCAGCTGATCGAATATTATTTGGGCACACTTCCAATCTTAGGTCTTCAGATTTGTCTTCGATCATACCAAGGACCCAATAGCCCTCAATATGTCGTCCTACAACAATTAAAGAATTAGTTAATAAGCTTAATGAGTTAAATAAATTTTGTAGATGTGATAATAATAGGGTTATTGGACAGCTCTGGTTTTTAAATTACACTCTAGGAGTAAAACAGACTAATAACACATATAGTAAATATTAATTAATAGTGCTATAAAATAATTACCTCGATTATATTTTCTTTTCCCAAATTTAGATTCATCAATCTGGACTATCTTCCCTGGGCCACCAATCTTTCCTACCGCTTGAGTTTTATCCATTTGATATATAACTATAGTTTCCCTACAATAACTATACCAATCACATATAGTAACTCGGCTTAAGGATTTAAGTCTATCATCTTTATATGGATCTTCACGCATGGTTGTAAGATAGCTCCAATTTTGCGAAAACGCATATAATAAATAGAAAACATGAACTAATTCTATTTTAATATTTTCGAAAAATGTTCCTTTATTTCTAGGAACTTTAGTTTTTGATCTGCAATTTCCTTTCGTGCAACACCATGAACCAAATGTTTTATTCGTCGATTTAGCAATTTTCATGGGTTTACGATGTGTACTACATTGCTTTTGAGAATGCACTAAACCATTTTCTTCAGCGAATGCCACACACTGCTCATTGGTACCTAATTTTTTATATAATCTAATCAGATTCCACAATGAGACCACTTCCTCACTATTCAAGTCACGATTCACAACGGACCCATCGTCCTCAAAATCATTTTCACGAGTAAAACTTGTAGACGCCATCACTATAAATCTGAAAATGATCGCGAGAAATCAGTGTTGATGATGTATGTAAAGCCAAGTTTCAAAAAATGCAAATAAAATAACGCACTTTCACGTGAAAATAAAAAGAAACGGATTTATAAAGTAAACTTTGCACTGTAAAACTAATTACCGCTAGTCTAGCATAAACCACATTCAAAATGGCCGATTAAGTTTATAAAATTAATAGGGATGTGAAAAATAATCGATTTTTTTTAAAGTGAAAATCGATTTTTGTATTCGATTTTAATATTAAAAATAATTGAAAATTCGGCGACCAAATATTCATATACTAACTCTAACCTAACCAATCTAAATAATATTTGTTTTTGTGGACAGCTCCGATCTAAATAGAAATTGTTTATTCAAGCCTCGGCTTCTCGGCGTCCTGGTCGCCTTCGGCGACCAAATATTCATATACTAACTCTAACCTAACCAATCTAAATAATATTTTTTTTGTGGACAGCTCCGATCTAAATAGTAATTGTTTATTCAAGCCTCGGCTTCTCGGCGTCCTGGTCGCCTTCGGCGACCAAATATTCATATACTAACTCTAACCTAACCAATCTAAATAATATTTGTTTTTGTGGACAGCTCCGATCTAAATAGTAAGTGTTTATTCAAGCCTCGGCTTCTCGGCGTCCTGGTCGCCTTCGGCGACCAAATATTCATATACTAACTCTAACCTAACCAATCTAAATAATATTTGTTTTTGTGGACAGCTCCGATCTAAATAGTAAGTGTTTATTCAAGCCTCGGCTTCTCGGCGTCCTGGTCGCCTTCGGCGACCAAATATTCATATACTAACTCTAACCTAACCAATCTAAATAATATTTTTTTTTGTGGACAGCTCCGATCTAAATAGTAATTGTTTATTCAAGCCTCGGCTTCTCGGCGTCCTGGTCGCCTTCGGCGACCAAATATTCATATACTAACTCTAACCTAACCAATCTAAATAATATTTGTTTTTGTGGACAGCTCCGATCTAAATAGTAAGTGTTTATTCAAGCCTCGGCTTCTCGGCGTCCTGGTCGCCTTCGGCGACCAAATATTCATATACTAACTCTAACCTAACCAATCTAAATAATATTTTTTTTTGTGGACAGCTCCGATCTAAATAGTAATTGTTTATTCAAGCCTCGGCTTCTCGGCGTCCTGGTCGCCTTCGGCGACCAAATATTCATATACTAACTCTAACCTAACCAATCTAAATAATATTTGTTTTTGTGGACAGCTCCGATCTAAATAGTAAGTGTTTATTCAAGCCTCGGCTTCTCGGCGTCCTGGTCGCCTTCGGCGACCAAATATTCATATACTAACTCTAACCTAACCAATCTAAATAATATTTTTTTTTGTGGACAGCTCCGATCTAAATAGTAATTGTTTATTCAAGCCTCGGCTTCTCGGCGTCCTGGTCGCCTTCGGCGACCAAATATTCATATACTAACTCTAACCTAACCAATCTAAATAATATTTGTTTTTGTGGACAGCTCCGATCTAAATAGTAATTGTTTATTCAAGCCTCGGCTTCTCGGCGTCCTGGTCGCCTTCGGCGACCAAATATTCATATACTAACTCTAACCTAACCAATCTAAATAATATTTTTTTTTGTGGACAGCTCCGATCTAAATAGTAATTGTTTATTCAAGCCTCGGCTTCTCGGCGTCCTGGTCGCCTTCGGCGACCAAATATTCATATACTAACTCTAACCTAACCAATCTAAATAATATTTGTTTTTGTGGACAGCTCCGATCTAAATAGTAAGTGTTTATTCAAGCCTCGGCTTCTCGGCGTCCTGGTCGCCTTCGGCGACCAAATATTCATATACTAACTCTAACCTAACCAATCTAAATAATATTTGTTTTTGTGGACAGCTCCGATCTAAATAGTAATTGTTTATTCAAGCCTCGGCTTCTCGGCGTCCTGGTCGCCTTCGGCGACCAAATATTCATATACTAACTCTAACCTAACCAATCTAAATAAAATTTTTTTTGTGGACAGCTCCGGCGCTACGGGAAATGCAGCCCCTCCACCCTTGCGTACCAAAGCACAGGCATTTTATTCAAGCCTCCGCAACCTCGGCTTTTTTGGTCGCCTTCGGCGACCAGCCTCAGCCGCTACAGCTTTCATAATGCCTGTGCTTTGTTACAGCGGGTGGGGGCTGCTCTTCCTCCGCGCCTCCGATTATTTATATACACTCTAGGGGTAAGACAGACAAGACCACGTGGATAGTGGGGTGCTCTGATTCGGTTTTGGGTACTTTTTGGATATTAAAGTAAACACTTTATTCTAGTAAAAATTAAATAATATAGAAAGTTGCAAACAATGAAATACAAGTACTAATTAGAAAATACAGACGAGTAGGTATCGATAATTTCAAAAAATTTCGGAACCCTATAATCTATCAACACGAAATTAGGTTAATTTCAATGTTGATTATTCTATAACTTTAAATTTCAAAAATGAGGAAATAATCGATAAATAAATAAAACGATTATTAACAATCGATAAATTAAAAACACGATTTTTTTAAGTGAACGTCACATCACTTATAACCAATAGAAAAGTAGAAAATGGCGGATTGTTTACAAATTTTAATACATTACACAAAACTTTAAATTTTTTATAAAAATATTAAGACGCGTTTCCGGAGCAAAACTCACTTGGAGGTGTTCCAATGAAGGTCCCCCGGACACTCCTAGATAATTAGTATCGTCAAAAACGTGAGGTGGTATTTAACACCCAACCCTCAAAAGTTTGTGGAGGTGTATATATGGATCTGGAAACTGAGTTACGTCTTAAGAAGTTATGTAAATATACACAAGCAATTACCACGAGTTCACAATTGGCTGGTTTTAACGGAATAGGTTTAGTGAATACACGGAACACCACACATAAAATGCCAAAAACATTTTCTATAATCCTCCTAGCTCTTGATAGTCTGTAATTGAATATACGCTTTTTGTTCCCACGTTCATGAATGCCAGGATATGGTTTCATGATGTTCTCCGTTAGCGCGAAAGCACTGTCACCTACAATTACATACGGCATTTCTGTTCCGCCTTGTGTTATTGGTTCAGGCCGTGGCAGTTTAAGTGAGTTTTCTAACAATGCATTATAAAACGGTGTTTCTTGAAATATTCCACTGTCGGACGACCGACCCTTAGCTCCATAATTTGCGTAAATAAAGTTGTAATTGCCATCTGCAATTGCCATAAGTACCATGCTGAACTGATTTTTATAATTGTAGTATTCACTTCCAGAATTATTTGGCGCCACAATCATAACGTGTTTCCCATCAATGGCCCCAATGCAATGTGGAAAATTCCATCGTATTTCGAATTCACGACTTATTTGTTTCCATTCTTGTTCCGAACTTGGAACCTAAAAAATAAATAAATATATAATAAGATAATAATTTACAGGTAGATGAAAACAATGCACTTGAAAGTGGTATGGAGTCAGAGCCATCTCAATCACCAAGGCCGAATGCTACAACATCTACATCTTCGAGGAAAAGAAATAAGACAGATGAATCAAATGAAATATTAGAGGTTTTGAAAAGTGCTAGAAAAAAGATGGATGAAAGGGAGAAGAAGGATCCATTTGATATATATGGTGAATATATTGCTGCTGAATTAAGAAGTGTTAAAGATGACCAAGCCGTGACACAGGCAAAGTACCATATTAATAATATACTGTATGAATTAAAAATGGGACGATATAATACATATGGATATCAAACGGCATCTTCTCATCCATCATCAACACCAAATAATGTTCAGGAAACTGAAATAAGGGAAATTGAGAGACACGAAACAAATAGACTAGATGCATTACGAGACGAAACAGAAGATTCGGCTATACTAAACTTAGTTAACTATCTCAGTGATGAATCAACGCAATAGCATACACTGTTTTTTTTTTTGTTTTTTAATTAATAAAATACTTGATTACACAAATAGTGTTCTTGTACCTTGACATATCCTGCTAGTGAGTTAATTAGTTCTTGACATACATCTGGTATAATTTTGCTAATCAATTGTTTTAATACTTTGAATGTGTATGAAAGAGAACTGTATGAATCTCCAGTTGCAAGATACCGTAATGTAATAGCCAGCCTCGTTTGAGGTGAAACTGGCTGACGAATATTTGTTTCCCTTTTGGCTATTGATGGACCAATCATTTCTAGAAGATGTTCGAAATCACTTTTCGACATTCTCGTAAAGTTACAAAATGATCCATCTGTCATTCTGAGGTCACTCATCAAATTTTCTCTTTGCAAAAGATAATTTCGAATCCACCATCTTTTTCTCTTTTTTTTTATTAGAGATTCTATACATCTGATACAGAGAACACAACAACACTACCTCCTCGGGCAACATTTTAACGCAGACTGGCGTGTGGACAACCTGTATTGATTTAAACATAGTTGCTAGCAACATTCTCGCCGCTCACCAACAATGTTTAGCAACTGTTGCTAAACAAATGTTTACCATGAATACGGGGCTTTAGGCATGTCATATTTAACAGCACAACTATATGCTAACTTCCTCACTTCTTCTGGCAAGAGACCAAAGTAAATTGATGCACATTTTAACAAATAATCTGCCAATGTCTTCTCCTGGTGGTGATTGAAAACCTGTCTAGAATAGTAGCCCACAGTTGGTGTTAAACCGGCTTTCAACTTTTTGACGTAGCGAAATAATGTCATATGAAATATTTCTAGTTCCCGAGCTACCGTTTTAAGTTTACGACCTGATTTAATAACAGTATCAGCTCCCCGCTGCAAAAGGTCTATCGAAACCTTGCCCCGTTCGGTTTTCCGTTTATAGTTTCTCATCCTAAAAAAATATTAGTTTTATTATTTACGTGTCTCATTATGGGGCACGTTGTTCCCCGGAACAACTAGCCCCACACTAGAGGAACTATGAACCCCAAATCCCATTTTCAAAGTGACCTCCAATAATAATTGAAGAGGTTATAAAAAGCCTACAATAACATTTAAAAGATATTCACTATAGTTCGCCCAACTGATAATTGCCGGCAGCTATTTGCACAAGGTAGTCGGGCCTGAGGAAGCACCAACCTGCCACCATTGCGACGCTGGCGTTGCTGATGACGCGCTCCACACCTTAAAGGATTTCCTAGCATGGTAGGTGGAAAGGAGGCCTCTACTGGGCGTGCTACAGCGCGAGGACGCTACTCTCGATAACATTGTGAGAGTAGCAGTTACAAGCTTGGACAGTGACGGCATGTGGAAAATCTTTCAGAGATTCTGTGAAGCCGTCATGCACCATAAGGAAGAGGCTTAGAGGACTAGGGAGGATGATCCCGCAGCCCACCCGCGTCGCCGTAGGAGACCACAGCGTCGCCATTGCACCGTGCAACCCTGTGTGTAATCCTGGGCACGCAGTTGCTCCAGCGGGGGAACTGGGGCTCATGCGTCCCAAAAGAAGGGATGCTGACACATCCCTGCAAGCATTGTACCCGGCCTCCCCCAGCTCTATAAAACAGGATGAATTGGCCGATGATCATTCGTGGCCGTAGAGGACCGTAATATTAACGGCTGATCGCGTGGCTGGATGCGGACAAGGCTACGCTGTTACCGTATTCTGCCCCGGGCGATTGCTGGTGGTGCCGTGGGGTTTTAGTGGGTATGCACAAAAGCGAGTCCCACATAACCCTTCCCCACCAGGCCAACCATGCCGCGGGAGGGTATGAGTAACGCATTTCCCCACGAAAAAAAAAGAACTGATAATTGCAAGTTACTCAAATAACTAGAAAATTGATTAATATAGACCAAAAACTCGAAGAATGAAAATATTCACTTACGTGATGTTTGTGTCACTAATCGGTTACCGCTCTCACACGCCGACAGAGCTTTACTAAAATGGCTGATGCAATAGCGTGATGGTATGACGTTTCGCGACGCACTTCACACTTATTGCTATCTCTTTTCTTCGCGGAGTTATTCGGATCGGAACAACCTACCCCCGGCACTTTGAACCCCGGCCTCCCCTACTAATAGCACTGGACTAGACCATTCGCTGTTCACGGGTTCAATAAAATCATTAGCTAGCATTTTCTGAACTTGTTTTTCTATTTCACTACGCTGCGAAATAGGTAATCTGTATTGTTTAGTATAGACTGGGTTCGAATTCGGTTTTAACTGGATATTTTGTTCGTAAAGATTACATGTACCTAGCTTGTCCCCTGGCAAGAAAAACACATCAGCATATTTTGCACCTACCTTGTAACTATACTAATGCTTTCTTCTTTGTTTAAATGTTTTAATTTTATTAATGATAATAATTTTCGAACTCTTTCTCCGATCAAATTTTGTTTTTCAAACGAACAAATATTGTAATTAGATAAAATATTAATATCAGGTCTAAAATAACTAAGATTAACTTCCGTCTCGCGGGTATTTAAAATTTGTATCAATATTTTTCCTTTCTCTGGTTGACAGATACTTCCAGCAATAAACACACCCTCACATAACTATTGGAAATATAACACACGACTCAGTCGAAAACGAATTGACTTGAACTAAATTTTTCACACCTTGGTGGTACCGTAATAAATGTATTTTTACCTATTTTTCCTAATCCTAAGGATAGCGTTATTGGCTTGTCGAAGCTATTAAGAGTAAAAGTGTTATTTTCATAATTTAATACACAATTATAATTGGATAAAAAATCTAGCCCTAATAAACCATCTTGTACACACGGTAAATTATTTAAGATGTAAAACTTATGTTTGAATACCGTTCCGCATAAGGTAAACGGAATGTAAACATAGCCTTCGGTGTATGATGTGCCACCATTACCATTTATGGTAACGCGTTATGGATGTACTGGAATATTCCTATCTCTTATTACATTATCTCTTATTACGTTGGTTTAAAACATATCCACGCTGTCTTTAATTACCACGATATACAGAACGCCCAGAAATACGTCCGCGTCCTCGAGAATTACTTGTGCATCCTCTATTATTTTCCCGGTGAAAAGACTTAGCTACTTGATTCGGCATCGGTTTAAATGTGCGGTTTTGCGTATACATGTAATTTACAGCTCTCGACCTCTGGTATACCCATAATAAGATGGTTTGTACTTACCTCTATGCTGACTGGTGAAAATTGTCTCTGATGATGAGCTAGAACCTCGACAGGAAACTTCTTCATCTTTCGCTGCTCTTATAACGTCTTTTATTTGTGAATAGTTCCGGGCTGCTAGAATAGTGCTTACTCGACTATTTCTCAAGCCTTCGGTGAATCGCTGTATCGCTAATTTTTAATTAACAGGTTTTAATATTTTAAATGAATTATCGTCACAGTTAGCTTGGGAAGTCGTCAATTCAACAAATAAATCCTCAAGTTTCTTACCAAATTCTTCAATACTCTGCGAACCTCGATTTTAACATCTCTAGCTGTAGCGCCGTGGCCGATTGCCTAGTCAACAGGTTATTTCTCATGTCGGTAACAAGATCTGTGGAAGATTCATATTTAGATGACAAACGTAACTTGGCATGTTTAGATAAACGTTCGAGTACTGTTACCCTTTAATTCATAAAATTTGAAAATTTGGCTTTGAGACGGGTCAGGATAGCTTCTATCTCTACGTCAGAGACTTCCGGAGCCAACCCTCTTTACCCGCCACCTCCACCACAGACGCCGCCATACTAGGAGGGACAGTGTCGAGAGGCAAAGAAACAGGTCCGCTACCACCTGCTCCAGAAAGGTCAGCTCCAGACTCTCCACTAGAGACGTCCCCGTACCTTTCACGAGCCGATCGGTAGGGGCGCCCCCACGGATCGTCATCCAGTCCCCGTAGCACCTCCGGATGGGTTATTTTCTTTGCATCGCAAATAGCCCCCTGGAGAGCCTTCTTACGATCGTTGAAAATCGAATGAAGGCCCTCAACATCGGGGCCATCTTCTCTCCTCCGGCGACTTCTGTCGTAGGCCCTTCGCCACATGCGCCCCGTAGATTGCTAATCTCTGACGTCCAGCAGTAGACCGCCCTCTTCCCCTTCGGCGTCCTCCATTTGGGCATTGCCGCATTCGATACTCTCCGTAGACTTAGGTTCAGTCTGCCAGCTCTTTCCTCCTTTTCCACACCACCAGCGGGCATACACCAGCCTTCCACAATGGTCACCTCCTCCGCGATCTGGCGGTCCAGTCGGCGTATCGACCAGCGGGGGAAACTCTCCCGACTCTGGAGTGTCTGCCCTTGCATTCCCCACCTCAATGAAGTAGAGACCCACACCCGGATATATCGATGATCCGATAGGGTCTCTACTCCGTCCAACACGCTCCACGCCGTCGTCATACGAACCGCCGCCGTAGAAGCAAGGGTGACATCCACCTTTGAACTTCACTGCGGCCGGATATAGTTGTCATTCCAACGCACAACTGCCAGGCGATTTTGTCACAAACTGCTTGATGATAAGCTCCTCGAGGCTTTTTCTTCATTTCTTTGTCCTTACGTAGAAGTGCATTTTCTCCTCTCAGTCCATTTTTTCTGATCCAATCCAAAAATCCCGTAGTTTTCTCTCAGTATGTAGAAGAGTTCTGGGCATGAAAAAGAAATATACTTTAGCACAAAGCAATGACTACTTGAGCTCCAAACCCTAGCGACAATTCTTCTTCTATGAAATTATGGGACCTTAAGTGTCCTCTCCTCCGTACATGATAAAATTTTAGACCATACCTGATACTCCAGCTCTGACATAGTTTTTGAGCCCCCATTTATTGGCTTTGTCTTCCATGTATTTCCGTCTCGTATGTTGAACTCAAACTCAAAAGATGTAGGTAAACAATTACACTTATGAATTGTCAAGTTAAATTAATTGTAAATTTACATTTACTACCAGTTCGCAAGTCAAGGGCGAAGAGCGGGTAAGAAGAACTGGCAAGAAACTTTCCTCCACTCTTTTTAATCGCCAAGTATTGTCATACAAATTGTTTGAACTGGAGCAAATCAATCCCAAGGATTAGGATCATTTATTTATAAAAAGCTTTATTGATTAATTTCCGTTTAACGAGGGCTTTGAATTTATTTAGTGATAATTCTCTAATTTCTGGAGTGGTTTGTCTTTTGGAGCCTGGTTGGTCGTACACTCAAATTAGTTCTATTTCGCGTTTTATACTGGTTAAAGTCACCATTTGTTTTAAAATCGTTTACATTTTTTTGGACATACAACAAGGCTTCAAGAATATATTGACCAGATGTGTCATAATATTTAATTCCTTAAACTTATTCTGTACAGACTCCCTCGGAGAAACACTACAAATACCCCGAACAGCCCGCTTCTGCAGCACAAATATGGATTGAACCTTGCCGGCCTTAGCCCCTTTGTTAGGAATCATCACCTCGTATATGCTGAACTTGGGCTCGACTTCTTGAGCTGAAAAATTTGCTCTTATTTTTTCAACTATGGGCCTAATCTTGTGATATCTGTCACTATTATCAGTGCCATTGTCGGTATGAAATGAAGGTATCTTCGAATTTTTTGGTACCTTTATATGGGCAATAGATCTTCAACTAAACCGAATCAATATTGCAGAATCCAATAGTCTGTATATGAAGGCATGGACTCGTACGACCCCCATGATGATGTAAATAGCCAGAAAATCTCGAAGTTCGTCATCAACTAATTCAATCGATCGGCGGCATTTTGTAGTGACAAAACGCTCGGTAAAAATGCCGGGCTCAGCGAAAAAGCCGGACTCGGGATAATGTAAATAGATTCATACAATTCGTACAGCCACTAGGCCTTTCGTTTTATATTATTTTCTAGGCTCGTATACATTTACATTTGTCTTTCTCCTACAATATTTATAAATTTTTAAATATACGCGATAGATATAGAGCGAGAGCGCGAGAGAGTGTGAAGTTATTTATTATCTCAGTTTACAAAGGATTTTTGTGTAGAACTAACCTGCATTCACCCAAGTTTCATCCAAATAATAAATTGGTCGTCCTTCTTCTCTATGTTTTTGAGAAACTTTAAGCGCCATAAAACTATATCGGGCCTCAATCAAGGCGCTGTTTCTTTTTTTCCTGACATACTTAAATTAAGTGTTTCAGCATACGCTACATCGATGTGCGGCTGAAATTGGGCAACATGTCGTCTTCATTGACAGCCTGTAAAATTTTGTTTATTGTTGGCATCTCACCCTTTAAAAAAATATCGTGAACTTTTTTTCTAATGCACGATTAGGACGCTTTTTTTATGGGGCTGGTGCCTTCACTGTGCCACATTCCTTATATTCATTTAAAACACGGTAGACAGTAGTCTTCCCAATGCCTACAATATCTGCAGTCTTCTTTCATGTCCATTTTTGATTTATATTTATCAACAGGCCATGTTTCTTGTACATGTTTGAAAACATTCACAATCATATTGTTTTCGTTTTCTGAAATATGTGACACCTTGCGCTTCTTACGTGGTGACATAAAGTCTTTAAACGGTTTTGATGTCGACGGACCTGGCTCCATGTCGCATCAAATGTTGTAAAACTCCGTAACACAAGTCACACACTAAAACAAAAGTAACAAAACACAAACTTAACAATAGAACAAATAACTATACTTTATAACCAATATTATCCACCCACACTCGACGTACTCGCAAAGCGGAATGCGCTAAACAAGCCGCAAGCGCCGCCGACCGAATGCATGCCTCTTCCTTCCTCGCACGCACCTCGCTCGTCCGTAGCAAGTTGAAATAGGTTTTTTTATTTCTGACTGACCGGAGCTCTCAACCCACCCCGTACCTATAAACATGCTTCGATATCCAAACGATAGAAATGTAAGGAGAGCGACGGAATGCGACACGGATCGTTATATTTTTAAGGTAACATAGTACTTCGTGAATCAAATTCAATGATCGCTTTTCCGCTAGGTTGAGAAATACACTATAGTCAATACGGTCAAGTTATTGTTAAATGTTTGCAGGTAAGTAGATGAGCAATTTCAGCATTGTCCTTTTTCGCCAATGCCATAGTGTTGAAGTTTTTTGATTAGGATTTCGTGATGGACACAGTCAAAAGCCAGTAAAGAAATAAGTCGCAAAAAACTCCAATGCCATCATGAGAATTTTCCCAAGCATTTAAAATCTCGGAAATTAATTGAATGCCAGCATCTGCTGTGGAGCGACCTCTTGTAAAACCATACTGCTGGCTATGCATAAGTTTATTATTATTAAAATGTATCAATAATTGTTCAAGAATGATTTTTTCAAAGATTTTACTCAAAGCCGGCAGCACAGATATGGGTCTAAAATTTGTGGGGTCCGAAGTGCTGCCCGTTTTGAATAACGGTGTGATGTTACTTATCTTCATCTGGTCTGGAAAGACTCCACAATCTATACATTCATTAAATATTATAGCCAACTCTGAACTGATAGTATTGATTACTGATTGTAAAATGAAAACAGATACACCCCAAAGATCTTTAGTTTTTTTTATTTTTAGCTGTTTAAATGTTTTTATAATGTCATTGCAGCTAATGCGGCTAAATATAAACTTATGATTGCATACAGGAACATTCTTTTTCAATAATAAAAGGGCGGCTGATGGTGAAGAATTTAGAACGCTGGCTGTATTTAAAGGAATGTTAGTAAAAAACTCTTCAAATGCAGAGGCTACTTCGAGGTCGGAACTAATTACTTTGCCGTTTATGTTCACTTTAAATTCAGTATCCTTTCTGGAGGTTCTTCCAGTCTCCTCGTTTATAAAATATCGTACTTAGCCTCATCTGAAAGTTTTTGAGGTGCTAGCTCGACCCGAATGAACTCGTGGCTGATCTATCCAGAAGTCTGGAATTATAGATGTCAAAGTTATCGCCGCCGCAGCTGGCGATGACTGAGGAAGCGACATTTTTATTAATTGTGTTGGGGTCACCAATTTAGGTGTGCAAGTGTGCAGCCACCGAGTTAAGGAGTAGTAGTAAATTAAACATTAATCGGTAGCTAATATTTTATTGCGCGCGGGAAGAACGACCGGCGCTACCAATTGTACGCTACACACTGTCGCTATACAAAACGTGTGGTTGTGTGGTCCCGGATGTAGAGGTCCGCACACTTGACAGGCCGCCCCATCAAGGCCTCCTCCGACAGCACCACTCGCAGGCTTTTCACCAGGCGGTCGGCCTTCTTCTCTTTATCCTCTCCGGGTACTCTAACATCAGAGCTCCCGTCACCGTCAACCGGATGCAATGCCCAGGTCAGACAGACTGACCCCAACAGTTCTCCCCGCAGCTTCCCAATACCCTTTCCGTTACCTTTCTTTTGGCCGGCCAGGGTCGCCCAGCTCCCACCTACCAAAGGCGTCTCTTAAGAGACCCATCCATCATTTGCCACTTGTAGCTGACGAATGCCTTCTACCCCGGGGCCCCGGGAACTTTGGCCCGCGGGCTGACGTCATCAAGGGAGGACGAAGCACAGGCTCAGGAAGGAGCCTGTTTCCAATCCCCGCTACCTTGGAATCAAACATGCCCCCGAAAGCCCGCATCACCACCATGAGGCTCTCCCTTACTCCGTCCAAGAGCCTCCTCGATCATTTGGCTAAGGGCATCCGAAATAAAACCGGGGGATCTCTCTGCCGTGTAGATTTCCTGTCCATCTCTTTTTGTCTGCGCAAAGAGCGCAGTGCGCTCCGCAATCTCTACAATGCGACGAACCCAGGCAGCCGACCGCTTCTTTATTTGGGGAACCCCTATCAGGACTATGTCATCCTCAAGATACTCCCAGGATGATGGCGTCCTCTCTAGTTGCTGAACCGCACTAGTGAAGGCCTCGTCATTTCTCTGTGCTAGAAAGTTGCCCCTAGGATGTTTGATTACACCATATAAAATAATGTTACTTTATACGTCTACTCCCAAAAGAATATCAATTCGTCAAGGTTTTATTTATCCCTATACAATATACATATATCAGTTTTGAAAGCTGAGTCAGCCAACTCTAAAGCTTCTAGGTCTGTAACAGGATTAGGTATGGAGAGATAGATAGATAGATTTGCTGCTTTTACTCTGTGACTGTCTATCGAAACGATCGAAATCTAGCTTCTACACGTAGAAAATACCGAAGTTGAACTTGTACTGAATATATATAATAATATATAGAATAATAACTATATAAAAAAATGTTTAAAATGGGTAGGTACTTTCGTTTTCTTCGTCTTTAGATATTTTCAAAATAAAACTTTTAAGTCCCGCCATAATTGTTCTAAAACTTCTAATCGAGTTTCTATAAATGGTATTTATCAATTGGTATTCATAAATTTTCATAAGCTCCTTTATTTTGCCCCTTAAGTTAGCAAATAACTGATCAATGCGCGCAAATAGATAAAAATCTCGTTTAAATTTAGGATTAACTGTTATTTTATTGCAATATTAAATCGTGAAGTTGGTTTGGCCGTAGTCGAAAGAGCAGTAGCACCCTGCAAATCCTTACGCAATTCCGCCATACCGTTTTTGAGAAAAGCCACAATATCTTTAATACTTTTTTGAACTGGTTCCATTGTGTCTTCTATTAGCGTAAACTTTAACTTAAAGGATTAAAGAGCCAGCGGTTATCAGGTGTATACACATTAAAAACTTCACTTATACACTTTAACTTAAATTAAAAGAGAGCCATCAAAATACGTGTTACGTCTACCCGCAAAAAAAGGTATATAAATTGGGTGTCTCAGTAAGAGTGCAGTATTTCATTTTAAAATAAAACCAAGTATTTTATATATGTGATATTTTTATTGTATTGTAAAGAAGACATGTTCCGATTAAGTATTGAATAAAATATCCGACAAATGACCACGGCTCCGATGACAGGCCATTACTCTTTTCATGAAATTTTCCATGACTTTTGCACAGAGATGTGGCTGTATCCACTCTATTTTTCAACTCATGACATATTCAACCGTCTTTTCTTACTGGATTTTATACGTCGACTCCGTTTCTCTCGCCAATTCTTCTTCGTCTGTGCTAAAGTGAGCGCATATGAGTTTTTTGGGACTTGATTATTTTAATAGTTGCCAAAGAAACATTGAAAGCAATCACCCCAAGACGGTTGGTCACCGTGGGGGAAAGCGACCATTACCCTCCAAATACTACCCCCACAACTAAAACGAATACTTGTGCAACTGAGAAACAATTTTATACCAAACAAATATATATAGTGACATTCAACACATTATCCCTAAAGTCTGAAGAAAGCCCAAAATAATTTCTATATTGTATCAAAAATATTAAGTCGGACATTATAGGCCTGAGCGAAGTACATGGTATCGGAGACCATTAGTGATCGCCTCCCAAGGTATGGTATTGAACGCGTTGGCGATGTCGAGCGACACCGCGATCGCAACGCCACCTTTTAATGTTATTTCTTCCGTGATTTCTCGGAGGCGGGCAATGGCGTCGATGGTGGACCTTCTCGACCGGAAGCCAAATTGACAGATCGGGTCCGTGCGATGTCAGGTGGCGCCCTATGAGCACGGAAATTATGCGCTCGAAAATTTTGCCCGCCTCGTTCAAGAGTACGATCGGCCTGTAGCCTGAGGGCGAGTCGGCCGGATTGTCGTTTTTCCTTAAGAGGACCAAGCGTCCATCTTTCCATATTTGTGTATATATATACCCTGTTTTTATACAGTCAGTCAAAAGAGATCGGAGAGACCTTTCCAGAAGCCCGTGGCGGAGAGAGTGAGCCAAGACCATTCCGTGTACCCCGTCCAGGCCTGGCACCGTCTTTTTCATCGCAGCTCGTTCCGCCGCGGCAACCAGCTCCTGTACACATCCTTTTTTTTTTTTTTTTACCTGGGGAAACCCTCTTACGGGCCCCCGCGCCTGGGCAAAGTGTGAATGGCGCGGGGAGTGTGGGGGTCAAGGTCGTAAAATGCGATGACCCCATACCCACTAAAACCACCAGGGCCCAATCCGTAGCGCGTGTGTAGCTGGGTCGTGGTATTAGCCTTTTCAGGCCTGAACCCACTGCTCGCCTGTAGGAAATTAAATACCGTATCAGTTAGTTTGGGGGCCGAGCATGAGAGACTTCCCAAACGATGATCGGCCTTCCTACCGAATGCCGCACAAATGGTGCACTGGGCCTTTCCCGTGCATTTTGCCGCTTTATGGCCGGCTATTCCGCATCTGTAGCACTGTAGGCTGCGGGCAGTGCCTCCTTTAATTTGTCCGCGAGAGAGTTTGCGACGCCGTCCTTCCCAGTACCGGGAATTTGTAGTATAGCGGCCCCGGTCACTCCACGACGGAACTTGACCGCCTCTAATCCGAGGCCGTTGAGGTCGACCTTCTGCCTCGCTTCCTTCATGGTGTCGGCGTAGGTGAGCCCCTGCTGCTCGGCCTCTTTTGTTAATGTAATGCTCACGGCTGCAGAACGTGTCACCCGGAGCTTTGGTGATGCTTTCTTTTTCGGGCTAGTCTTCGAACTAGCGCGTGCTTGGCGCGCTCTCGTAGAGGTCGGCAGGTCTTTGACTTCCTTACCTCGTTTGCCAACTACAACCCATGCGCTCTCGCCATCTCGGCTCTTAACACCTAGGTTTGTAGGGAGCGTAACGGTGGCGGACGTAGAGGGCACTTCTGGTACGGGCACGCTCTTTCTGCTCTCGCCAGATGCTTTGGCTTTCTTCTTCTTATTATTTTTCTTTATTTCTGGGGCCTGAGTTGGTGCCTGAGGCACTGGGATTCAAGCGTACAGTACACCTGGGCAGTATACCTTTTCTTTTTTCTTTTTTTTTTAACCTGGGGAAACCCGACTACGGGCGCCCGCGCCTGGGCAAATTGTTAAATGGCGCGGGGAGTGTGGAGGTCAAGGTCATAAAGCGATGACCCCATACCCACTAAAACCACCAGGGCCCACTATTCGCTATGGGATGAGGGCGGGTAACACCTAGGCCTTTTCACCGCGCCCCGTCCAGCGAATGCCGCTTACGCGACTCATAATAAAGTTTTATATATATATCGCACTTACCGTGTACCTTCCCATTTGTGCACCGTCCAACTCGGCCCTCCAGTCTAGTATCACGCGCTGGCAGAAGTCCAGGCGCCAGGAGCGTATGGTCTCAGTGGCTGGTTCAGTCCTCGCTTCGCGCGCATCAGCCCTGCGCCAATAGACGTCAGCCAGAGCGGTAGCCTCGAGGTGCCAGGGCGCGGAACCTGCGATCAAACACACGGCATCGTATGACACCGTGCGATACGCCCGCGCAACCCTGATCATCATTGATTTTTGGGCTTGTTTTTCCGGGACAACATGTCAGCCCATACTGGGCACCCGTACAGAGCTTGGGATTTAACAACGCAGGAATAGAGTTGGCGACACCCCTCACTCGGCCCGCCTAGATTCGTAGATTCGGCATAATCCGGCTGAGAGCCAGTGACTTGGCGGTGAGCTTCGGGGCAAGTGCCGCGAAGTGCGATCGAAATGTCCACCGGGAATCAAGTACCAGGCCCAAATACTTCAAGGACTTTCCTACCTCGATGGACACTCCTGCAACGACGATGTGCGCTCCCGCTGGAGGCGCTCGCCTCGGGCCGTGAAAACAGATCGCTTCGGACTTCTCCAGTGCGACACGCAGGCCGAGGTGTCTTATCTGCGCTACGACTTGAGCTACCCCAGCAGTAACTCGACGACTCGCCTCGACGTAGGTACCGCCAGATGCCACAACCAAGGTATCATCGGCGTAACAGATGACCCGAACACCTAAGGGCAACGATTGAAGAATACAATTATAGCCTATGTTCCACAGCAGAGGCCCGAGAACGGAACCCTGTGGCACACCGCATGTGACTCGCTAGCCTGTCCAAGCATCCCTACCAGGAAACACAATTCTACGATTAAGGAGGTACGACTCTACAAGCCTCCGGAGATATAATGGTATTCCATGATGCACTAAACCTCGCAGAATAGCCTCGTGAGGAATGGTGTTGAAGGCGTTGGCAATGTCAAGGGATACCGCCATTGCAACACCACCCTGTTCTGTGGTCTCCTCGCTTATTTCTCGGACCTCTGCGATTGCGTCCACAGTTGACCGCGAACGCCGGAATCCAAACTGGGCACTGTGCAGATCTGGTCCGATAGTTTCCAAACGGTATTTATCCTTTTGGCCATGATCCGCTCCAGGATTTTGCCACTCTCATCCAGCAATACGATTGGGCGGTAAGCAGAGGGAGATGTTTCTGCTTTGCCGGGTTTCCTAATGAGCACTAATTTCCCAGTCTTCCAGGCAGAAGGAAACTCTCCCTTCTGCATGATCCGCGTCAACAAGCCGCAGAACCTCCAAGCCATTTCCTCGTCTTTAAGGGTGAGAGCCCACACCCTTCCATGAAGGCCGTCAGGGCCTGGCTGGGCAGTATACCTGGGCCAACAGATCTCAACCACTGGTATAATGTCGAAGGAGATTGATACAAGAATTGGGAAAGCATGGAAATGTTACTGGGGGCTTAGGGAAATCATGAAAAACACAGAAATAAAAATGAACGTCAAATCAAAGCTGTATAACACCTGCATACTTCCAGTATTAACATACGGCTGCCAAACTTGGGCACTCACTAAAATGCAAACCAGGCAACTGAAGACATGCCAGACGGCGATGGAAAGAAGCATGCTAAATATCAGGAAGTCCGATAGAATCAATAATAAAATCATAAGAAACCACACGAAGATTGAAGACGTCACAACGAGGATACGAAGATTGAAATAAAAATGGGCTGGGGGTCTAGCCATATTGGTGTCGAAAAGTATTTAATAACCAAACAATGTCAGTAACTCCCAAGGGACTTGAATTCAAACTTCTCATTCATTAACAATATTATAATAACTTCTAACATCTCTAGTATATTGACTTAGTAAATAATTAAGGAAAATATCTGCTTACCATTACTTAGTATTGCTCACTAGATTTTATATTTCCAAAGTTCATAAAGTATAAATCCACTTTATTTGATTAATTTAAATCAATATTATATCATTAGCTTCTATTATAATTACAATAAAATATATTTAGAACTTCTAATTCTTCACTCACTACTACACGAACTTCAGTCACTAATGACTGCTTTCTCATCTTAAATATACAAATAAAATGTACAATAATTTTACTTTGTGATAACATAATATATGCAATATTAAATGGTATATGTATTTTTCAAATTAAAGAACAATTTCATGAACTTACACGCAATATAAATATCAATAAAAGATATCCAATATAACTAGGATTTACCTCTACTAATTTGCTGATTTTCTTGATATTTTCATATTTATCTGTGTCTATTATGTTATCCTCGCATTGATTCATAGAAAAACTAAAACTCTTAACTTAAAAATATTAACTCTAGTTTAAATTATTATAATTACACGAGAACGTTAAAAAAAGACAGATAACAAATTAAAACCATTTCCTTAAAACGTCCAAAATATGACATGTTTTTAAAACGGTAGCCATTAAAGATGGCAATAGTTGTACTGAATTATTGCAAACAGCAGCTTTTGAGATCACGCTAAAACATGGCGGAGAAACGCCGTTTTTTCTACACTGCCGAAACATGAATTGGCCGTTGGCTACCGAATAGCTTAAGCGTTAATGTGTGTCTTTTCGTAGCACTGTCATGGCGACACTTATTGTATCCCGACTCACGCCTTTAGGGCCTAGGCTACCGACTGTCGACACGAGCTGTCATTTTCATACAAATTTAGTTTTCGACTTTCTACATACACTATTGTTAAGCCATCTTGGCTGGACCCCCTGGGCATATAATAAGACGTATAGAATAGTGGAACAAAAAGATCATATATTGGTACCCAAGAAATAAGAAAAGAAAACGATGTTATATATTATTAAAGTTATTAGGCACACTATGTTTTACTGCGTATTCATACGCCATTCTCTTTATTTCACTTTCTGTGCACCCGTAAAATATCTTTGCTAATAGCTTGATTTGATCATCAATATTTCTCCTAAATCAGTGGCATATAGTTGTTTTAACTACTTTGCTTCTAATATATTCACTGTCCTCTAGTTCATACAGTTACCATAAGAAACCAAACGTGTTTACTGTATTATAAATAATTTGCAGGTTTTTTAAGTGCACTTTAAGGCAATCAATAGCTGCATAATAATTATCAACGATAAAAGATCGCCTCCCTTCTAACTCAATGTTCCCCGTCTTAAGTACATCAAAGTGAAATTTTGGTTTCTTTCTTCTTCTTACATCTTTTTTGTATGTGGTCACTTCGCATCTCTTGATTGCCTCTGAATCAAAATTTTTAAACTCTTTTTCGTCACGCAACGTATTAAGACAAGCAATGTCTCATAAAGAATCAGATAAACTACTAACGATTTGAAACTTTACGAGCACAGAGTTCCAAAAGCACAACATTATTGCAATTTCAAGAGTTTGATTTTTTTTCTAAAACTGCTTTTTCTTCTATTTTGGTCCCTTTACTTTGATTTTTATCGAGTTTTTGACAGAATTTTTAGTACCGTAGGTTCTTCATCTAATTTGGATACTAAAATTTGCCATCTGGTCTCGGTCTAGTTGAAATATGCAGGGGATGATGCTAGCGAAGACACGATTTCAGCGCGCCAGCCCAAGGCTGCAGCCTAATTAGTCGTCTAAGGGTTAATCAGGCCCTGCGCTCGGGTTCATTCACCATTTTAAAAATTAAATCATTAGTTTTTTTTCTCTTACTACACTTACTGGACATTTAATAAATGCACTCAACTTAGTCTGCTGCGAATTGGTTTCATTTGTTTTAATTACAGGATTAGTAGATTCTGTACTTACTGAAGTTGATGGTATAGGAGCTTCAAGAGCTGCTGCATCTGACACGGAGCATGGAATGATGCTTTCATCGGTTGATCTGTATTTTTTCATGAGATGCTTTTTCAAATTTGTAGAACTTCCTTTCACTGAATGCGATCAGCCAATGTTTCTATACACACATCAATAGTACTTGCGTAAACTGAAACATGTAGATACTCATACTACGAAAAATGCGAGTAACGAAATGTATTTGTGTGTAACGTTTCGTTATGGGTCTGCGAGACGATCAAGTGCACTTGACAAGTCTACGTGATTGACGATTTCACTTGACGAGGGACTTGACGCGACTTGAAGGTGCCGTCAAGTCCACATCCCGCAGTCGTTCACCGCCCTGTGCTCAGGAAAGTGGCCGTCGTAATAATGGTTTCCAACGCAGACAAGGCATTCCTTGCTATAACTCTAGCGGTATCACAGAAAAAGAGAAAAGATAGAGGCGATGGTGTAAGGAATGGTATAAAATGAGATATCGATTCACGCATGAACATTTGCAAAGAACTAGTCAAGCAACTGAGCCCGACGATTATGAAATTTTTTTACGAATGGACAACGATTCTTTTGAAACATTGTTGGAGTTGATTCGACCCAATATTGAAAAGCAAGATACCAATATGCGACAAGCTAGCCAGCCAAAGGCTCTCTATAACTCTTAGGTACTTGGTCACTGGTATGGACTTAGAAGATTTAAAGTTTATGTGTGCTGTCGCTCCTCGTACTTAGGCATTTAATAATACAGGAGGCGTGTGAGGCTAGAATTCAAAAGTTAAAAGAAAATATTCGGGTATGTATGATATTCATTTATTTTCATTTAACTTAACCAAAATAATCATAACAAAAATTAAATACTTAATGTGATGGTGAAATATGAGACAGACAAAACAGAAAACTTTTTATTGGTTTAATAAAACACTATTTTGACCGGATTGAAGTTATGTATTATTATAAATTTACAACTATTTAACATAATTTTAAATTTATCCGACGTTTCGCGTGCTTTACAGCGTGCGTGGTCACGGTGACTTTTTATTGGTTTCTTTTATTTTATCTTGTATGGCTCGCTTGTGCAACCAATTCATACCCAAAAAGTTCTCAGTTTGGTCTATAGAAGTTATTAAAAAGAATAGAAGTGTTGTAAGAACTTAGCCGCAGTCTGCAATTCTTCTTCTCGAGTAGCTGGTTCTGGTATATGAATTACGGGGTGTTCATGAGATAGAATTGGCGCCTGCGTAGCACGGATGGTCAGTTTTTCACTGTGACGGCTCAGAAAACTGGTGACCCATTTGTCACCTGGTAGTTTTCCATTAAAAATGTCATCTCTTCCATTTTTATTTAAATAATTGTGCACTATGATACGCAGATTAAGCTTTGTAAGAGGGCTCCCAAAATCAGCAGAAGCTATTAATAAATTTATCAGTCTATCTTCTTCCGTCTGCGTTAGTCTCGTTGGGGATCCAACGGCTTTTATGTGAAAACTTTTAACTTTGTTTATAATTGTGCGCCTTGGTATACCGAATTTTTTCTCAGCATCCCTCGACGTAACTTTTTATTGGCCACAGATTCAACTGCTAATTCCAACATTTCTGTCGTATGGTTTCTGTATGGCCGAGCTCCTAATTTTCTGCGGGGTTTCCGAATTTTAATACGGGGTTTAAGCCTACCCATCCTGTAACAACGTAAAAAAAATTGAAGGTAATCGGTCCAATACCTATTATCAAAGAAGTTCAAAATGGCGGCCATATTTTTCAAATTTAAGAAAAGATTCCGTGTATATAAGACATTATTAGACATTTTGAGAAGAGGACATTATGAGATGAGAGGATATTAGTATGGATTGCTCGTATGGTAGTATTATACATTTAGGTATTGATTAGCTGTTGCCGACGAAACCTCTGTGCAAAATATTAAGTTTCTACACCAAAGGGTTTGGGCTGTGCATTAATAGGTGCCTCTAGATAATTATTTATTAATATACAAGTAAAAAAGAACAGGTTGACAACCCTAGCACTCAATAATCGGTGGGCAATGTTGGGACTGTTGATGTTCTGCTGTATAACCTAACATTGCCCAACACCATAATTTGAAATCTAATAGCCGTTTAGGTTCCGAAATCGTCACGTGAACATCATTTTCCATGCCCTTTTATTTACTGATTCTCATACTCACGTCAGTCAAATAGCTTGCGCCCTGCTGATGAAGTTTTTGAGCAAAATATTTACACCACGTTTTCACCACGTCGTTAAAACAACACTTGCTGGCTTACTAAAAGAGGTTAGAATGTTTTGACACATCGGTATTGCCAGTAGATATTATCAAAAATCATACCACAGAGAAAAAAAAAACAATTAAATCGACACTTTTTTATGTAAATCGATTTTAAGTTATTTTTCCTCTCTGGGCAAAGAGGAAGGAGGGGGAATGTTGGAGGGTTTCACAGTAACTGTAATTCTTCTTCATCTAGGTTAAATAAAACATTCTTGTAGTATACCAAATAAGGTAACTCCTTCCAGTCTTCACTATAATGCTTTTGTAGTAGATTTCTCACATCTCTGAGCTTTAGTGGTTTTACATCTATTCCTTTTGAAATTGTAGACGGTTGTATCATTTCTGCTTTTTTTCCTTTTCGGCAAATAGTCCTGGGAGCACCTGTGTCAGAATTATAAAACAATTCACCACGAATCATAACATCTCCCTGCTTTTTGGTCCGTCGAATAATGATACGCTTGCACTGCGATATCTTAAAATGGAGCTGGGCTGGTGTTTTGACTATGTTCTGAAGAAGTTTTCCAGTCCAGCACATCTATCTCATCAAGTTTTGTGACAGTTGCACATTCGCTAATAATATCTGTATATTCTGAAGGCTGTGTTATCACTTACAAGTATGCGAATTCTTTTTTCTATATTCCCGAACACACGATCCGCAGGCATAAAAGAGTGTCCAGTGACTTATTTTATTATTTAATTTTTTTTTTAATTTAAATATAAATTAATTAAAAAAACTAAAAATAAATAATTTAATTTACTTATTTATAGGATTTACGGTATTGATCCCGAATATTATTCCACCGCGATTTGCACACCGTTGCTGGAAATATAATAAAACAGATAATTTAACATTTTTGTTTATTACAGATTCCTGACTACAGATTTTTTTTTTATAATAAGAATAATTTTTATTTTCTCCCCTATAACATTTACAACAAACAATAAGATAACAGTTGAGAGGGCATTGGGAGAATGGTTTCCAAACTAGGCAAGAACCTGTGATATGGATAACCAGGCTTCCAGTCCACAGCAGTCATATTGAGTGTTTACAAAAAGTACATACATAATATATGGGTAGGCAAACAAATTTAATGTTTTAATTCAAGAAAGAAAAACAATACAGTCAACTAATTAGAAGTTAGCACAAATAAAGTTGTATGGGCGTATGTGAGGGTGTGGGTGTGTGTGTGTATGTGAGTGTGTATGTTGATAGTGGGAGAGGGTATGTGTCAGGCACACGCCTGAGAACATAATATATGAAAATTATTTTAATAGTCTATCTAGCAGGTTTTCCGTTTGGTCATAGTTCAAAGTAAGTAAAAATTTATGAACTATTTGCTTTACACATTTTTTAGTTTTAGGATATATATTTAGAGTTTTGTTAAGTTTATTATACAAGTAACAGCCCAGAAAAGAGAACGATCGCTGAGAAAAATTAGAATAAACTGGGGTTGTATAAACGCAATATTTGCGACGTTTGTCCAATACAGCGGTATCAAAGAATAACAGCGAATGTTGCTTAAGAACAGTGTATAAGATAAACAGCTGTCGAACTGTAAGTACAGAACTGATTTTATAAACTTCCGCAGTAGAGAACCGAAAGGGAAGAGACAATGAGGTTTTAAGATTAATTTAAAACAATTGCGTTCAGCTATCGATTGGAGTTTAGTGTTAGTTAGTTTAGTTTAGTTTACTGTGCAAGAAATTGTAACGAAAACTTGTAAATGTATAATTGACACAATGATGAGTGAAATGCTACCTAGGCCAACTTATGAGACGTGGAAATCAATAGCGGACGACTTCAATACACTTTGGAATTTTCCAAATTGCATCGGAGCTCTTGATGGAAAACATTTTAACATCCAATCCGCCTAACAGTGGATCACTATACTTCAACTATAAAAAAACATTCTCAGTTGTGCTTATGGCGTTAGTTGATGCCAATTATAATTTTACAATTGTCAATGTTGGTTCTTATGGAAAGAATAGTGATGGAGGAATTTTTGCTAACTCTAATCTGGGAAAAGAACTTCAAAGAAAAAACTTGTCTTTGCCTGCTTCGTATCGACCAGGCAGTTCAACAGCTCCTTATGTTCTTGTAGGAGATGAAGCTTTCCCTCTCAAAACTTATTTAATGCGACCGTATCCAGGGACCAATTTGAGCACCGATAAGCGAATTTTCAACTATCGTTTATCTCGTGCAAGGAGGGTAGTAGAAAACACATTTGGACAGTTGACATCAAAATTCCGAATTTGTAATAGACGCATTCATGCTTTACCAAAAAATGTTGATAATATAATACTTTCTACGTGTATTCTTCATAATTTTATTAAAAAAATATGACAAAGAAACAAATTTGTTTGCAGAAGTTGCTTGCACAAACGTTTCGTTGCAGCATACGACGATTTACCAGCTGTCGGTTTAAATGCTTCAATAGAGGCTTTTTATGTAAGCGATACGTTCAAATCTTATTTTATTTCTCCAGCTGGCGCAGTGCCTTGGCAAAACAATAGAATTTAAGTTGTTGTCCCTCAATAAAAGTGAAAAAAAAACAACTATTTCATACAAAGTGGTAAATAACGGATCAAAATGTATGAAATAGCTGTTTTTTTTTTCGGGAACCCCTGAAATAAACAATAAGAACCTACATATATGTCTACAGAATACAAAACATATCATAAAAATGTTTAAAACTTACCTTCACACTTTAATTCTTTTCCTATATTATCCCATATGATATTTTTCTTCTTAGAATTCAAAAAATGTGGATTAGAAAGATCGTAAAGTATAGCATTCTGCCGTGCAAGTTCTATCAACCTTTCTGCGTTCATGTTGCACTTGCAGATAAATCGTCAACTTTAACAAAAATCGGATAGCACTGTCAGAGCGTCCGTGCGTGCTCCGGGACACTGACGCCTGACACGGAGCTGTGTGAACAAGTTCATACAATTTGTACGTAACCAATTTTTTGCCCGTCCCTGACGGAACACGGCCGAGGCGAGTTTCTGGAAATGTGTGGATAAAGGATGGTTCACGGTACACCGTGTCGCGACCGGGCCGGGCCTCGGACGGGACACGTCCACCGTGCGCCGGCCTGGACAGTGATTCATGTTTGGGTGTACGCACGTACGTACGTACTTATGTTGTTTCTCAAATAAATATTAGTTTAGGAAATAAAACTCAACATTAACATTAAATTAGTTTTTTATTACTTATATCAAAATATTACTAATTTTCTTCAATTTGTTGTTAATTTGTTGGAATTTCTCTAGGTCTGGGTGCTTTTCAAGATATTATCGAAATGATAATCCTTCTCATATCTGTCAATTAAATATTCATAACTATTGACACCATGCACCCCACGCTTTTTTTACAATAAAAGATTTTTTTTCTTATTCAAACTATTAATAACTTATATTTATTAAAATTTATTTTCTGTTTTTTAGTTTAGTTTTCTATATACAGCGTGTGTTCTAGTTTTTTTAAACTATTATTTATTTTTTATTTAATTTTTTTTTTCTTTTCGGATTATTGCATTGTCATCAATCTTTGACAGGTGCGCAAAGTTTGAATTAAATCTGTCCGTTAAAAGTGGGTCAAAATCGAGTCCAAAGGAGTCGGTTACATACAGACATACAGGTGAAGCTAATATAAGCGTGTTAAAAAAAATGGATGTGTTTCACATCTTTGAATGATGCCTGGTTTGTAATATAATCTAAGATGAAAGATGTGAGATCAATAGGCCCTTTTCTTGCGGTGCCCTCATGATAAACATAAAATGCAGCAGTATTGTCTTTCAGGTTGTGAACACAGAGCACACTGACTGTAAGCTGCCTTCAGTAAAATGTTTCTTGAACTGGAATTTGGGGCATTTGAAGATTTTGCATGTAATCAATAACAATACCTCCCACTTTAGGATCTTCCTGGCATAATTTGGTTAGTGCTGACAGTTTATCATAAAACTTCTTTGCTCTTCGTACATGCACAAGTTTTTCTGCTGTAGCTACACGCTTAGCATTGTCATTTAAACACTTGCTTTTTATTTTTACTTTAACTCTTCGCATTGACAACAAGTGTTAACTTGGGGGCGGCCAAAGGAAAGATTAAAGTGTTCCTTGAATATTTTTAAATAAAATTTTTATATTTTACATTATTATTGGGATTGACAGAGCAAAATAATTTGTGCATAATAAGCACATTCAGTTTCTCACTCAAATAATGATATTCTCTAGTGGTGTAGTGTGCTATTTTAGTAGGAAATGAAGATATGTGTTCCTTAATTTTATCTAAAATAACTCCAGAAATAGCATTACTAGGTATTTGCTTACCACGCTTCTGATAACAACTTATTCAACCAACGAATACGCTCTTGAGTTACAGCAAAAGTACTTATGAATGCTTCCTTACAAATAATGTACTTTCCGGATTGTGTTGTGACTGGGTATGACGGTATACCACCTATTTTTATCAAAAATGTGCTCAAGCTATTACAGAACCACTGTACATAATACAGAACTTACCCGTGAACACATTTGGCATTTATCCTGATGTATGGAAGATAGCTAAAATAATACCTATTCATAAGAGTGGCTCGCGGTTGAGTATTGAAAATTATCGACCAATATCGATACTTAATACTTTCAGTAAAGTCTTTGAAAAGATAATTTATAAAGCCATCCACAATATAATAAGTAATTAATTCACTTCCCGATGAACAGCATGGTTTTATCAATAAACGTTCTACGATAACCAACTTAACCGTGTTTACGAACTATGTACTGCAAAGTATTGATGGTGGTGCACAGGTTGATGTAATTTACACAGACTTTGAGAAGGCTTTCGACAGAGTGGATCACACCATCCTATTACATAAGCTCCAACTTCTAGGGATACGTGGTGACCTTCATTGCTGGTTTTGTTCATATATAACAAATCGTAGACAGGCGGTTGCGGTTGGCAGTGCTAGAAGTGACTTTGTTCGTATAAGTTCTGGAGTTCCTCAAGGATCTATATTGGGTCCCCTGTTATACAATGCATATCATCATGACATAAATAGTACCATTAAAGATTCAAATTACCTTATGTTCGCTGATGATAAAAAGATATATTTAAAAATAAACAAAGAAGGAGACTGTCACAAAATTCAGGCCGACCTAAATAACCTTTCCAATTATTATAGACAAAATCGAATATCGGTTAATACTTCTAAATGTGTCAAAATAACATTCACCAGAAAAAAAAAATTAACTTTAGCTATCATATTAATAACAAATCTGTAAAAGAAGTAGATTGTGTTCGTGACTTAGGTATATGGTTAGACTATAAAATGACGTATAATAACCATATTGACACAATAGTTGACAAGGCCTATAAGCAGCTTGGTTTTGTAAGACGTGTTAGTGAACATTTTCATGATGTCGACTGTATGAAAGTGCTATACTATACATACGTAAGAAGTATTCTCGAATATGGTTGCTCGGTTTGGTCACCTAGTTACACTGTACACAAAGAAAAAATTGAAAAGACTTCATAAAATTTATCTCCTATAAGACCTACAATAAGTTTAATACATATAATGACGCGTGTGAACATTTTAAAATTAATACTTTAGACTCTCGACGAAAACAATATGATTTATTGCTACTACATGACATCATCTCAAATAAAATTAATTGTAGCTCCCTTCTAGAAAAATTGCCCTTCCTTGTTCCTGCCTACCAGACTCGTAATCGTGCTTTGTTCCATGTTCCTCACATTAACACTTACTATGCAAGGAACTCAGTTTTGTATCGCGCAGCCCGGACATACAACGACCAATATTTAAGCCTTGACCTGTTTAAGCTGTCGCGGAATATGATTAAAAGAAGTATTAAGAATATCCATAGCGCAAAATCACCTGCATCATGAGCATACCCCACATACAAACCTTCACGTACTTACCCTCACTTTTACACCATCATACAACACAACCAAATTAGGTACCACTTAGATAAATGTATTGAATAGTTTTTATTTGTTTGTTTCCTTTTATAAATTCTTGAACCATTTTGTAGTTAAATGTATTATTATGTATTCCATATTTGGCTATATTTTTAATGTAACTGTTTGTTATTGTATATAATTTATGTTAGCTGTAGGTTTACAAAATAAATAAATAAATAAAACCAGTGTAAAAGTGTACCAAGATACGGTTTTGGATCGGATTGTCAAAGAACTGCCCAGCACGCTATTGCGGGACATCACTTCGTGTTTCAGCAGGACTCTGCGCCTTCCCACACAGCCAAGAGCAATCAAGCCTGGTTTGAGCTTCAAAACATCGACTTAATTAGACATGAGGATTGGCCTTCCTTCAGTCTGGACCTTAATCCTTTGGACTATAAAATTTGGCAGGTCTTAGAGAGGAAGGTCTGTGCTATACCACATAAAGATTTGGAGAGTCTGAAGTAATCTTTAAATAAAGCAGTCACTGAAATCGACATGAATATGGTGCGTGCTGCGATAGACGACTGCCCGCGGCGCTTAAGAGCCAGTTTTAAAAATAAGAGAGGTAATTTCGAATAATTTTTCGGGTGAGGGAGAGCCTGTTGGGGGAGTTGATGAGGGATGTGGGGGCTATGTTTGATGCCAAGTTGGCGGGATCGGGGACAGGCTCCTGCCTGAGCCTGTGCTGCGCCCCCCGCTGGCGGCATCGGCCCGTGGTCCGAGAAACTCCGAGCGTTCGGTGGGGAGAGGGGGCCCGGGTGCCCTGAATTTTACGGGGCCCCAGGGCTCCGTGAGGGTTCGTTGGGGGGTAGGGGCACGGTAACTCCGAATGTGGTGGGAACCCAGGGCCCTGAAGGTTTTGAAGGGAGCAAAGTCCCGGAGGCCCCAGGTGTTTCGGGGCCTCGGGGATCTGGGGGTCCTAGTGATGGAAGCTGGGCGACTGTCACCAAAAAGAAGAAGGGAAAGGGAAAGAAGGGTGGTTCCCCCGCTGCGCCGGTCCTTCCTCTTGTGAGTGGGGAAAGTGGCCTTGTGGGCCGGGCAGAGGACCATGGAGTGGGTCACGGCGCAGGTTCCTCGGCTGGGCGAGTGGCAGTCGATAAGAGGCCTGTCAGGGTGCAGCCTTCGCTCACTCCGTCGAAAACTGCCGCAGTGGTCATCACATTGCGGAGTGAGGCGGTGGAGCGGGGGGTCACGTATGCGGATGTGCTGACCAAGGCCAGGAATGGTATTAGGCTAACGGCGACGGAAGCTCGGATGTTGGAGGTGCCGGGGGTAGACAGGGAGGAAAAGGCTGATGTCATGGCGGATAGGCTTCGTGTGGTGCTGTCGGAGGAGGTCTTGGCAGGGAGGCCCGTCAAGTGGCCGAACCTTCTTATTCGGGACCTCGACGACAGCGTCACCGAGAGGGACGTTGCAGTGGCGGTGGCTGCTATGGGTGGGTGCCCGGTCGATGCGATCAAACCGGGGAAGATTATGAGGCGCGGGGGGCGGGGTATAGGGGAGATGTTCCTTCTGTGTCCGGTCGCAGCTGCTGAGAAGGTGAGGAATGGGAAGCTCCTCATTGGGTGGAGCTCCTGTCGGATTGAAATCCGAGAGGACCGCCCTTTGAGGTGCTACAAGAGCCAGAAGTTGGGTCACGCGCGAGCGACCTGTGATTCGGCGGTGGACATGGCGGAGGCGTGTTTTCGATATGGGGTTGTGGGTCACAAGGCCTATGATTGCAACTCGAAAGAGCTGCATTGCGCGGTCTGCTCGGCGGCTGGAAAGCTGGCAGGCCATAAAATGGGGGGTAGGGCCTGCAACCCTGGGCCCTGTATGCCCCTATAGTATCCAGCACGGTGGTAGGGAATCCTCCCATGGAGGTTGGTGTGGGGCTGTCAAACAAATAAAATGTCTGACAGTCTTACTAGCCTCCTTCAGGGGAATTTAAGGCGCTCCGCTGCGGCTCAGGACTTGTTCCTGCAGTCGATGGCGGAGTGGGGGGTGATGGTGGCCGTTGTTACTGAGCCCTACTTTGTGTCGCGACAGAGCTCATGAGTGGGGGACCTTCGAGGTGATGCGGCTGTAATTGCTCGGCTGCATGGACCTCCTCTCTCTCTAAGGGAGAGAGGTTCCGGGTTTGTTCTGGCTGATTGGGGGGAATGGACGTTCGTCGGAGCGTATTTTTCCCCCAATGAGCGTATGCGCCATTTCGAGGGTTTCCTCGATGCCATGGGCCTGACCATACGGAGGGACTTCCGCGCCCCCTCATCCTCATGGACCTTAATGCGAGGTCTCCCATCTGGGGTGACAGGGTGTCGTGTCGGAGGGGCCCGGTTCTAGAGGAGTGGGCGGCGGAGTTGGGCCTCGTATTCCTAAATAAGGGAACGGAGCCCACCTGTGTCCGCCCGCAGGGCAGTTCAAGGGTGGACGTGACCCTTGGTTCTGTGGCCCGTGTAACGACGGTATGGACCGTGCTGGACGGAGTGGAGACCCTATCGGATCATCGTTATATCCGGATGTGGGTCTCTACTTCGACGAGGTGGGGTGTGCGGGGGCAGACTCTCGAGAGTCGGATGAGATTTCCTCGCTGGTCTATATGCCGACTGGACCGTCTATATTCGCAGGAGGTGGCCATAGTCGATGGGTGGTGTGCGCCCACTGGTGTTTTGAATGTAGATGATGGAGCTGGCAGACTGAGCTTAAGTCTCCGAAGGGTGTCGGATGCGGCAATGGCCAAATGGAGGTCGCCGAAGGGGAGGAGAGCGGTCTACTGGTGGACGGCAGAGATTGGCAATCTCCGAGGCGAATGCGGTGAGGCCAGAAGGGCCTACTATAGGAGCCGCCGGAGGAGGGGAGATAGTCCCAATGTCACGGAGGGCCTTCGCTTGATCTATAATGATCGCAAGAAGGCTCTCCAGGGGGCTATCTGTGAGGCAAAGGACAGGGCTCATCAGGAGATGCTTCGGGGGTTGAATGATGACCCGTGGGGGCGCCCCAACCGATCGGCTCGTAAGAGGCTGAAAGGTACGGGGATGCCTCTCGTGGAGATTCTGGAACCGACCTTCCTGAAGCGGGTGGTGGCGGATCTGTTTCCTTTGCCTCCTGACACTGTCCTTCCGAATATGGCGGCGTCTATGGTAGACGTGGCGGGCGGAGAGGGTGGGATGGCTCCGGAAGTCTCTGATATAGAGATGGAGGCTGTCCTGACCCGTCTCAAAGCCCGCAAGAAAGCACCTGGCCCGGATGGTGTACATGCGCGTGTTCTGTCCTCCCTCATATGGAGGTCTCCGTCCGGGAGTTGTACACTGCGTGTTTGCGCGGTGGACGGTTCCCTGTGGCCTCGAAGACGGGACGACTGTGTCTCGTGCGGAAGGAGGGCCGCTCGGTGGACAGTTCGACGGCTAACCGCCCTATTGTCCTTTTGGATGAGGTGGGCAAGGCGCTGGCGCTCTCGGTTGTACCGGCACAGGAGGGGCTGGATCTGAGCGAGGCACAGTACGGATTTCGGGCGGGGCGGTCGACGCTCGATGCTCTTCGGGAGCTGTGGTCTCACACCAGCGGGGTGGTTAGCGGGGGAAGACGGGCTTGGCAGTATCATTAGATATTGCCAATGCCTTCAATAGTCTCCCTTTTGGCGTGGTTAGAGAGGCCCTTGAATTTTTTGAGGTCCCTCTGTATCTGCGCCGAATAGTGGGGGACTATTTTGTGGAGAGGCAGATCGTGTACTCCAATAGAGAGGGCACGGTCTTTGAGGCCCACTTTAAGGCTCTCGGGGGGGAAGTTGGTGGGGGCAGCGGGGGCGTTAGCAGGGCTTTTGCCTAATATTGGGGGCCCTAAACAGAGTGTGCGGAGGCTGTACTGCGGTGTTATACGCAGTATGGCCTTGTATGGGGCCCCAATATGGGACGATAGGTTGCGGGCGAAGAACCGCACCCTGCTCAGGAGGCCGCAGCGAGTGATGGCGGTTCGGGCAGCTCGCTGCTACCGGACTGTCTCATTCGAGGCAGCGTGCCTGTTGGCGGGGACTCCGCCCTGGGAGCTAGAGGCGGTGGCCCTAGGTGCCCTGTATCGTCTCAAATGTGAGACAAGGGCAGGTGGCCGATGGGCCGAACTGGTCGGACCAGCGAGGAGGCAAGCCAGGGAGGACACCTTAGATAGGTGGGAAACGCCACGACCTAGTGTCGGTCATCGGAAAGGACCTCTCGCTATCGAGCTGTTATACCCTTAATATGTAGGAGTAATGGCTAACCTCTTGATTATCTAATATGCTAAGTAATCAAGAGGAAAGCATATAAGCATAGCGAACGGGAGCAGGGTTAGTCTCTATTCGGTATTCATTGAGGTGACATCTCTGTATTCTATTACTAAATAAAATCATTTTGTTTTTAAAAAGATTATTTTAAGAACCTATATAACATTAAATGGTGGCAGCGGTGGGATACGAAAATCCCCTACCCGAATACGACTCCGAAGTTCCGTGTGTGTTTCAAGTGTAAAGTGTTATATATTTCCAGTGAAGTTATGCTCTTCAAGGTTACGGCAATCATCGTTGCGCTGTAAGTCCCAAACACTTATCAGAGCTCAGAGTTAGGTAGTCTAAGAGACAGTGTATTCTTTTCATTTGTGACTCGTTCATTTTCTATATCTTATTTTGTGTAAAAAAATATATGTCTAAAAACTTAAAAACCGAAGACAGTAGTTCCAGCAAAATGTCAGAAATCGACTTAAACATATTACTCAAGTTCATTACTACATTCGATGGGTCACGAGAAAAGTTAGGCCCATTCTTAGCAAATTGTCAAAATGCGATGAGTATGGCCACACCATCGCAAACCGATGTCCTTTTAAAATATATTCTGAGTAGGCTAGAAGGAAAGGCAGAATCAGCGTGTTCAATTAGAGATTTTAATAAATGGCCTCAACTTGAGGATTTCTTAAAAGCCCAGTTCGGCGATAAGAAGCATTATGCATATCTTTTGGCAGACTTACAAGACTGTAAACAGTCCACGAATGAAACTATCAGCCAATACTCCCTGAAGGTGGAGTCATGCCTTTCAAAACTATTGGCTGAAATAAACATATCAATACCCACGAAAAAAAGGATGAACTCGTAGGTCGCGTAGCAGCAATGCAAGATTTAGCATTAAACATTTTCACAACCGGCCTTCAGCCACAACTCTCCACAATAGTGAGATGCAAGGACCCATCAACGCTTTCGGAAGCAATTGCTTTCGCGATAGCAGAAGAAAAGATATTGGGGATGACAAATAAAAAACATAACAACATACCACGTCCTAATTCAACACCTAATCGTTTCTCGAGACCAAACTTTTCCTCAAATAATACTGCAAATGTGATAACTTGTAGATATTGCAAAAACATGGGTCATAGTATAGAAAATTGCCGTAAAAGACAATATAATAACAGCCGAAACCCTAATCGTAATCCTAACTCTAATCAAAATCGCAATCAAAACTTTACTCAGAATCGCACACAACATATTGACACACATTTTAATTACCAGGATAATAGTGACGAATATACCTCCCAAGGTAATTTAAACTAAATCGGTTTCCCGAATGGTATCGCCCGGGAAATAAAAATAATAATTTCAAAGCCGATACCAAATTTATTAACGCTGTATCCACTGAATCCTCTGTACCACACAGAAACGCTGTACCCACTGCATCATATAAAAACACTGTTTCCTCTGCATCATGTAATAACACTACATCCACTGAATCCTCTGTATCACGTAAAAACACTGTATCCTCTGCATCATATAAAAAAGCTACATCCGCCGTACCCACTGCATCACATAAAAACACCGTATCCACTGAATCCTCTGCATCACGTAAAAACACTGTATCCTCTGCATCATATAGAAACATCATATCCGCTGTATCCTCTGCATCATACAATAACAGTACATCCGCCGTATCCTCTGCATCATATAGTAAGACCGTATTCACTGAACCCTCTGTATCGCGAAGAAATGCTATATCCTCTGCATCCTCTGTATCCACTGTATCCACTGCATCCTCTGTATCTTCTACATTATGTAGAAACTCTGCATCCTCTGTATCCACTGTATCCACTGCATCCTCTGTATCCTCTACATTATGTAGAAACACTGCATCCTCTGTATCCACTGTATCCACTGCATCCTCTGTATCCTCTACATTATGTAAAAACACTGCATCCTCTGTATCCACTGTACCCAATGCATCCTCTATATCCTCTGTATCCTCTACATTAGGTAGAAACACTACAACCTCTAGATCCACTGAAGCCTCTGTATCCTCTGTTTCCTCTACATCCGTTGAACCCACTGTGTCCACTGTATCCTCTTTATCCACAGTTCCCAAAACTCTCGCATTTACTGTATCAACTACGTCAACCATTTCTAAACCTATAATGAGCACTATGCCCACTGTTTCACTATTATCAAATGATCTTCCTGAAAAAATATATAAAATTAATACGAATTCTAAAAGATATTTACCTTGTGTTATATTACGAACCTCTAAATCCTATCAACCTGTAAATCTCTTAGTAGACACTGGATCCTCTATATGTTTGCTTAAGCGCTCGTGCCTATCTCAGATTCAAACAATAAATAAAAATAACATAGTTACTATTAAAGGAGTAGATATTAAAGACGAACCAATCCGTAGTCTCGGTACTACAAATCTCAAGTTTCAGGTAGATAAACTTACTATTTCTTACGAGTTTCATATTGTTGAGGAAATATGTCTTCAATATGACGGCATACTAGGCAATGACTTCTTTACAACTTTTGACATGAAAATTAATTATAAAACAGGACACTTAGAAGGACCGGA